GGGCAATGCGAAGAGAAAAAGGCCCGTTGGTTTAGTTCTCGTTCAAGAAACAGGACACTATTGATCAGTCTGGATGTCTCTAATTTTACAATGTTTTCATAGCTGCGACCTGGACTTTAATTAAACTGCCATTTCCACGTTTTAGCCCATTAGCTTCTCGTTCTGGTTGCACCATCAATTCCGTCATATCGTCAGCTCTGACAACCCGGGCTATTGTTCGCAATCGCGGAAGCCGAGCTTCCAAGAGGTCATTACTCATATCTGGCGTTTCGTCTGAGCTCCGGAAGAGAAAAGCCATAAATTATTTCCCTCCCAAAAGGGGAAAAAAAAAAAAAAAAAAATGTAAATCCTTGCTCCAAAAAACCTGGGTGTCAATCACGGCGGAGTCGCTCCTGGGCCCTGTCACGTCCGGCCCGGCGGAGCATTTGTCAGCGGGCGCTGGTCCGTTTGGACGGGCAGCCTCTGTTATTACCCTCACGTCCAGGGCCGCGGGCCGAATTGCAAATGCAGTCAGCGGAGTTGCCAGGAAGCTGAAAGGGCTGAGCCAGGGTAACGAGCTCTGGGGTGCCTAATTAATTCCTCCATTCCCCTGGTTGGTTTTGTTGGAGGTTGAGAAGGGGGGTGGCGGGGGAGGGCAGTGATCAGAGCAGGATCAGGCCAGAGGGAAGTTGGCGACAGGCTGAGGACACCTCGGGGAGGATTAAGTCAAAAATGTTAAAGAGAAAAAAAGAGAAAAGGATGTGAAAGCGAAGGGGAGAGAAAGAGAGAGAGAGAGAGAGAAGGAGGAGATGGGAACGTGGCGTCCAGCTTGGCAGGGTCGGTCCTCTCGAGGTGGGTCCTTCCGCTGGGAATGGCGGTTCTGTCAGCTGGCCTCCGCTGCTGAGTGACACTTCAAACCTAAAAAAAGAACGCCGCTGCTCCCTCAGAGTCACGGGGCGGAGACACCGAGAGGGGGGGTGCATGGGCCTGTCGTGATTCCAACTTTTAAACTGAATAAAACATGTATTTTAAACGGGAGAAGCTAGCTAACGTTAGCATGGTTAGAGAGCGGACAAGCAGGCCGCCATTTAACGGCACACCGGCATTAAAAATGGAAGCGCTCACAGTACCAGAACCCATGTTTTAAAAGACACGCTGCAAAAAAAGAAGAAAAAAAGCCCGGAGCCACATCGGAGAAAGTGAAGTGACCCTGGCAACCGCCATCGCTCTTTTGGAATGGTCTGCCTGACCCTGATTCGGTTTGCCTGCGAGCTGAGGAGCAAACAAACAGACAGGATCCATTTACACCGTCAGGTGTCACCACCAGGGATGAGCAGCGCACGGCTGCGGGCCTCTCTAATCCTCCTCATCCTCGCCACCTCCCTGATCGCCGCCATCATCGCGGGGGCGTTGGCAGAGGCTCCCGAGAGCCTGCTGGGAAATGAATAAGCGTTGACTCAAACTGGACCCAACTCAAGGGGCTCGGCCGTTTGCGTTGCCAGGCTCACGTCCCTGATTTAATCCAGTCAAGGGGTAAAAAAAATAAGAAGGAGAAAATAAGAAACTGCCAAAAAACAATGCTTGGGAAGGAGGAGGGAAAGCGAAAGGAGGTGAGGAAAAAACAAAAAAAATGTCCTGAGTGGAGCGAGATGGCGACGCGGAGGGAATGACAAAAGCCCGGCTGTCACCGGGAGGGATGAAAAACAGCAGCTCTCAAACCAGGCGAGGCGGCGGGCTGCCGGCGAGGAAGAGGACGCGCGCGGAGACCACAAACACAATTATCTTCATGCCAGCTTTGTTGTTTGTCAGAAACGGCGCGCGTTTACGGGACTCAGGGGGTGCTGATTATGTGACACCCGGAGAGCCTTTGGGGTGGACAAGAGGCAGCCAGCCAGGAGTCATTACCCAAACCAAATAGACTCCTCATTTGTTTTCCCACCGGGATAAAGCATCAGCAGAGGAATGAAGAACAGCAGCGAGACACTCAATCCCCCAGACGCGTGCACCCCCGCAATGGGCGTTCTTCACTTCTGAGGATCCAATTGCGAGCATCCTCACATCAAATCACAGCAAATAACGCCTCAAAATGCAAGTTGTCTGAGAACTCAAAGGAAGATTTTTCAGATTCTCCTCATGACCGTGTTCAATTATGCTCCGACGTCTGGAAGCCAAATCATATATGACTACCTGACAGATGGCGTAATGTGGGCAGAGGGGTTATTTTCTAACAGTGTGAAAATCATAGTCTTGGCATCTCTCAATATCGCCAGCTGGTCCTTTTCATTCCATTCAGTCAAATTTAGGCACGTTTAAAGAAAGGAAAAAAAAGCATCTTGCCCCTCAGTGTAAAGCTTGGTGAGGTTGTTCTGGAAGCTGGTAGAGATAATGGCTGCCAAACCCAAAATACCTGTTGACAACCTGTAATCTCCACGCCAGACATGGACCACTGTCTACTTCAGCACCACACACCATCTGCTGGGTGAAAGGCAAGGTCACACACACACACACACACACACACACGCACAGAAGCTGGGCGAGTCTAAATATAGAAATAAATAAAAAGAGAAGGAAAATTCTGATACATGAGCAGACAGGCCAAAAGGGCAGACGGGGACATTCACCTAAGCAGCTAAGGTTTAGGAAACCAAAGCATGAGGATGATAAAAGCTGATTCGGAATAAAGCTAGAAGGGGTCTGGGACTCCTAACACCTGTCCCTGGTGGTCTGGGCTCAGCAGCAAGATAAATATGCTTAAAGATAATTAAAAAAAATAATTTTGCTTAATTTATTATGTGTTAATGGGATGAATACCAACAGAAAAAAACTTGAGGGGTGGTTTACTTTGCTCTCTTGAGGTGGTTTCTGTTTGTTTGGGAAGAATTTTGACAAATAGAGGTGAAATAAAATGAAGACAAAGTGACTCACCAGCTTTTTCCACTCACATCCCGCTGACAATAAACTCGTATGACCCGACTGGTGCCTTGATTTAATATCCTAAAACTCTCTGTTGTGGATGTCCACTGCAGGTGTTGTTTCCTTTGTTTTCCTGTTTGTGGTTTACTTCTTCTAAGGATAACCAGTTCTTTCACAACATTACAGTCAGAAATTTAGTAATATAACATCTCAACACCCTGTTTTAACGCTGTTTTTTTTGTTCGATACATCATTTCTGAAGATGATTGGAAGTATTATGAAAGACTACTCTCACTTATAATCATGACCTTTTATATACCGAGATGTTTGATGGCTTTCTATGAGACAAAGTGACTCTTTCAATCACAAAGAACACAAACACAATACTGGATGTTTCTCATGACAAAAAATATATATATATTCCCCCCAAAAGGTCACATGACCACAAGATGGTAATAAGTGGTTGATTCAAGTCCATGCAATGGCACACTTTAATGACATAGTTAGGGATAAATCTACTGTCTTCTGTGTGTCAGAAACCTTTTTAACAAACTAGTTGGATGCTTTGTCAAAAATGAGGACTGATGAATGTCTTTGTGCAGTTTACTGATCAAAAGAGTTGGCTACACAACACTGTGGGAAAAGGCTTAAAAATGCTCACAAAACCTTGTGTTCACCAATTGATCGGCCATTCCGGGTATTATGTAGGTTTCTTGTTTAATAAGTAGAACAACCGGTGCATTAACTTCCAAAGTTAAACCTCCGATACGCTTTAGCCTTAACGGTCTCTCATCGAGCAATTTTGGCCGAATATTAAGGCCTCTAAAAGATTATTCTTGTTGTGTTTTGTTTTCTTAATATAGAGAAAAGCCATCTCTGACTCATGTAATAACAATCCCGCATGTTGGATTTTTTAATGGAGCCGGTGAACCTCGTCTTCATCCACTCTTCAGAGGATAATGCAGAATCATATTCAATCCATCTCTTAACTCTTTAAGCCAGCAACGGAGGACATTTAAGGGGCCGTTTCCCTCCAGAGGTTTAGTGCTTTTATATACAACTGCACTAGTTTAGCATATCTCCATAGACTCAGACACTATCCGCTCCTATTGATGTGGCTGTTCCCATCACTTCATTTACCAGGAGCAGCGTCCCAGACGGGGACCAGCTCATTTCCATTTATCGAAATCCCATTTCTATTCCATCTGCCAACTAGTCACCTGTGAAACTAGTTTTTAACCATGGTTTGAGAGTGCAGTGGCTTCAGCCGTCCCACACACACACACACATCCCCTTTATTAGTGTTTATTCCGGGGCATAAAACCACTGGAGGGGCACCCAGTGCCAGCGCTGGTCGTTACGTTGTAAAACACCGAGGCGGGGTGGCACAGAACGCTGCACCCTCGCCAGCTAAGTGTGTCAGGGAGGAATTAAAGAATAAATTTTCCCCTTCCAATTAAAAGACGCGTTTATGCAACGCGAGCGGGAGGAAGGAAACATTATCAATGAGGGGGGAAGAAAAAACACACTGTTACAACTCAGGAGGCGCAATTACTGAGGGCTGGTGGCGTGCAATTAAATAGTGCCATTCAGCTAATACATCCAGAACATATAGAGGAGACAAGAGTCTTTGGATGTACCTCCCAACAGCTGGGGGAACAGACGATGGAAAAGTAAACACAAACAGTGGTAAAACATTGAAAAGGGGGGAGAGGCGCTCGTATCTTGCATTAACATGAGAGTAAACCGTCAAGAGAATCCTGACCCAAAACGAGGAATCAGCTCCCACACAGACCGCTAGAAATAAATGAATAAAGAAATTGGTAGCATTTTTAAAAAAACACAGGTTTTTATTGAGAAAGAGGATTTCATTTTAAAGGGTATGATCCAACTTGAATGTGTGCAGGGGGAGCGGCACTTTCAGCCAATCAGAGCAGCTCACTGAGGTTGTAAAGAAAAACAAAGGACCTGAAGCCCCGAGCAGTAACGGAAACCATGCAGCTGGACGTCGGTGACCAGATGAGTCCTTTTTATTAATGACATGTCAACTTCTTAAACACTTCTTGAACATTAGGGGGAAAAAAGAAAGAGAAAAAAACAGGTCTGGACTAGGCCTGCTCCCTGTACTGCTGGTGCAGGACCAGGACGTCGTCCTGGGAGACCCGGGTCCAGCCCTCGCTGTGGACGTGGTAGAGGTTGACCTGCCCCCCGCTGTAGGCGTCGCGGTAGGTGGCCTGGTAGATGGCGCGGCGGCCCAGCTCGCAGGCCTCCTCCACGCTCAGGTCCTGCCGCAGGCCGCTGTCCATCACGCCGTAGGCGTACATGGAGCCCGAGCCCACCGCGAACAGGTCGCCGCACACCCGGTTCCCCTCCGAGTCCACGTAGTACAGACCTGAGGACAGGGGGGGGGGACAGGGGACATACTCAAAAAAGTATCGATACTAAAATGTTGTATCCGGATACGATACTCATTTTCAATGCCGTCGCTGCCCCCCTTCTCTCAGATTTATTCATGTATTTTTTTAAGTTGTTTGTGGTCATTAACAAGTTGTTAGCCTTGAACTGCTAGCTTCGGCTAATGGCTAATAATAACGAGCTACCATTAATCAAGTACATATCCGACTCCGCCCACATCGAAGTCGGCCATTATAGTTACATTAACAATAGGAAGATTCCAGGCAAGAAAATCCTAATTGCCTCATGGTAATATAGAGATTCATTTAAAAATTGTGAAACTAATCTTTCAAACACTTAATTAAACTCTATACATATTATTATGTTAAAATAGTGCATGTTAAATAGGTTTGTACAATAAGTCCAAACAAGTTTAACCAAAAAATATTTATTTTTCACAATTATGAAGGGTGGAGGGTTAGGGTTAGGATTATCAATGCAGGCCACCAGTCACGATATCATCAGTAACAGGTCAGTTTGAAATGAAAGACACTAACCTGTCAAAATTCATTTAAATTTTGGGGTCTTTTTTTAATCCTTGTGGTATCGAAAATGGTATCGAGTATTTTCCTGAGCATCGGTATCGAGTTGAAAATTTTAGTATCATGACAACCCTAGTTGGTGGAGCGCTTTTCGATGGAGCCAAGGCAGCTGCAGCCTCTTTGAGGGAAGCGGATATGAACAGCTGCATCCTCTTCAGGCAAAATGAGGCGGGCCCCCCGACCTGCTGACGAGGCTGGGCCCGCGGCCCCGCCGGCCCCGGGGCCTCTTCCCTGGACCTTATTGATCCCCGCAAACAGGCCAAAAATTAACTATCGACCCACAATCCCAGCTGTCCGGGCGAGCGCCTCTCACACCTCACCGGGGAGGATTAAAAAAATGTTTTTTTTTTTTTTTTTCACACTAATTATGCAATAAGGTTGTTGTTTTTTTTGTTTGTTTTTTTTCTCACACTCTTGTAATCACCCTGTGTTTGTGTTTGCTTGTTTTTTGTTTAAAAATGTAAAAATATATATGTACATTCGTACCACACTGTATTATTTCTGAAAAAATAAATTTAAAAAAAGGTATTTTTTTATAGAAATAAATAAAACAAAAAAGGAGCGTCCTGTGGATGTCTGACAAACGGGATGGATCCAGAGCCATCTCCACACACACACACAAACCCAAACACTGCCCTCACCTTTACACTTTCCCAGACTCCCGTGTCAGATGGAGTATCACTCCATGTCAAACCGACCCAGCGTGTTATCCCATGAGCAACGCGGACCTGCAACGCTCTGCTGGCCCTGTGAGCGACAGTTTGCTCCACACACACACGCATACACACACACATGGGCTTTACGCACGCATTTTGTTCTGCGCTGTGACACAATCGGCGAGCTGGGCTTGAGAGTGACGTGGACGCGGTGACTGGCGCCCGCCTGCCAGCCCGCCCACAGCCAGCCTGCAGACGGCAAAAAGACAGCCTGCGAAAAAAGGCCTGTTTTTTTCTGACGCTTTCACCAAGCAGAAACCCGAGAAAATCATTCTCTCACCAGAAAAAAAAACCATGAACACGTGGATTCCAATTGACCAAATATTCACCACTGAGGCTCGAACCCCCTGGACTGCTCATCCTCAGTTTTGGGTCGTCGGTTTAACTAGTGACAGTCTATTAGCAATAAGGAGCCACTTGCTTTTTTCCGATGGGGTAAAAAAAAAAAAAAGGAAAAGGGCTCACCATCGGCCTCAGCTGGCAGATTGCAGCTTCCTGAGCTTGTCGTTTGCTTGCCATGATAATCACCCCGTGCCCGCCTATGCACGGGGGTAATTTGCCATTCCAAGACCTGCCTGTTCCTCTTGAAAGCTGTGAGCGACTTGTTAAGCGCATAATGGGCCGGGGAGGAAGAGCTGTAAAGGCAGGCTCTTGTGCCGAGTGGCACAGTCGACGAGGTGGTTGAGGACTCTTTAGAAGGGGTCCAAGTATAGACGCAGAGCAGTGCCCCCCTCCGAAAAGAAAAAAATAAAACCCTCCCCACATCCCCCCCTCAGCCCACACCTGGGCTCTTTGTAGCTGTGAATGCGCCTCAGACACGGTGTGAGCAGGAAGCCGGGAGAAAGGGCTGGAATTCAGGAGCCCGGGTGGGGGGGGGCAGGCCGCGGGAGGCCTGCGCTGCATCCGTCACCTGGCAGGTGCTTAAGGAGCCTCCTGTGAGCGGGGGGGGGGCGACGTGGGCGAGGAGCACGGGAGGCATCAAACGGATCAGTGTCTGTCGTCCGTCCACAAACGGCCCGAGAGTAAAAATAGAGCAGCGGTTGTACAAAAAAAAAAGGGGGGGGGGGGGGAACAGAAAGAGCCATTGCGTCAGCCTCTCGGGAGCGGCTGTAAAACCAGCTGCCACATGGGTCCCTCTGACAAGGCTCAGTATCAAAGATTACCCCCCCCACACCGATCGTTGAGATGAGGCCGTTTGCTGTTTAATCGAATACAACCCGTCTTGCTCTCCAACGGGGCTGCTGTTTGCTAGTCGCCTTCCTCTAAAGAAATCAAAGCCGCGACCCCTCACCCTGACCCCCCCCCCCGGGCGGCGTGCCGGCAGGGATGGCCATCCAGGCCCCTCGCCGTCGCTTTGGTCCCGTTTATTCTGCATGCAGCTTAACGCGCTCAGTCCGGGGAATAAGTGCTCTTGACATGATTGTAGCTAGCTAATGAGCTTTCGGACTAATGGCGATTGACTTAATTTACATGACATTTACCTCTTCATTCAATCATCAGCATGGCGAGGGCCCAGAGTTTCCCACCGCGCCGAGCCGTCCCGAGCAGGGATCGTTATTTCAGGGATTGATTGCCTCGGACTGAACAGGAGTAGCGCGCGCAGGCCGGCCCGCTGTCGGGCCGTCATTGTTCAAACAGACCTCTCTGCTTTCCAGACAAAGCTGGCATCGATCTGGGTGGACGCACAGGTATTATGCATGTGACCCAATTGTCCAGGGCCCTAACGTCCATCATCAAAGTGAGCTTTCGCTGGCCCGCGGTCCCAGCCTCATCGATTTCCTATTAGCGTGTCACCGCGGTGGCCTCTTTAAGCACACCTTCCTTGATGTACAGCCTCACTTTGAGTCACCAACAAGCAGCAGCTCCAGATGTTCAACGTGTTCCGGCCAAAGAGAGGCTGCGCTGCCATCTAGTGGTGAGCCGACTGAACTCCGGACCCTTTAACACCTCAACACCTCTGTGCATAAAAACATGTTGATTCAAAAGGCCCCATTGCATTCATACAAAATATGATAATATGTATACATCTATAAAAGCGATTAACCACCTCTGTTCAGCTAAATCTCCAAAATTATGAAGACTAAACTTATGATCGCCAAGAATAAAAGAACTGATGTTTGACTGGGGATTGATGCTAATGAATGTCTCATTAGTGCATTTGAAAATTTAAATTAACATTCGGATAAATACATATTTATGTAACTAAATTTAACAAATAAGCCTATTGACACACTGAAATGTTTTCTGATTAGGCAACTGAAAAATATTTTTTTAATTAGTAATCTTTATTTAGATTAACTCAAGATGCTCTTAAATAATGCTGAATATAATTACTCTTTTTTCTAATTCATCATCTTTTTTTTTTACTAAATGTTTATATCATCAGAATTTTACTCAAAGAAATTTAAAAAATGCCTAAAGGTACTGCGCAATCTAAAATGTAACAACTAAAATGGCGCGTATCTGTTTCAGTTCGATGACTTTGTGATCTTTTCTCTTCTTTTCTCATGCGGTCATTTTGCCAAAAAGGGAAATATAGAATTTATACAGCATAAAAAACTGACGATTTCCTCATGACTGATTTTAAAAGCCACTCTCGGGAGCCTGGCGTGTCTGTGGGGTGCAGCTGTGAGCGTTACCTGGGCCCCTCTTGTCCCAGCCGCACACCATGGTTCCCATGCTGAGGCCCATGCCCTTGTACTGGTACACCATGTTGGCCAGCAGCTTGGAGGCGGCTGCCACCGAGATGCGTTCTTTGTTGCGAAGCTCGTAGATGCGGCACTGGCGGGCCAGCAGGCGCTCCCAGAAGCTGCAGTCGGCCGCTCCTCCGGCCATGGTGCCCAGCAGGTAGGGGTTGATCTCGATCACCTTTTTCACCGTTTGCGAAGCGATGTAGGAGCCCGCCGTGGCCCGAGAGTCCACCGCAACAATAACTCCATGCTGGAACTGAGAGAGAAGCGGCCATGAAGGAAAAGGACGGTGGTGAAGAGACAAAATAAACGTCACCTAGTGACCGGGTCATCCTCAACACCTTAAAAGGCCGGCAGGGAAATACGACTTACACCATAAATGATAAGATATGTCTATATGAGAAAAAATCTTCCACATGTCCAGGTTTTGATTCATCCAAGAGCTAAATGTGTCACTTTCATTATTCATTAGGATAAAAAATAATAAACTTTTGACCATTTTGCCATTTTATTGTCATTAGTTTTTACAGACAAGCGTGACAAAAAAATATATTGATGATTTATCAGAAATTCTAGAGACTGCACATCAACCAGAAAACAGCCAAATTGACTTATCTAAAACCAGTTAATCACAAACGCATCTTTCATTATACAAAGGCAGAGAATATTAGCTGGGAAATTGCTACTCATTCCCTCTTTATGGTGAGAAGTATCAACATTACATACCAACCAACACATAAGATGGTAGAATAAACAGAGTTCCTGGTTGATCAGTGACACAGATTTAATTTTGTATCTCAGAATAATCCACACAGCTCCAAAATAATAAAAAGGAGAACACTTTTTACAGGTTTGGTATCTGGGATCAACCTCTTTATATACAGGTTTAAGATAATAACTCAGATACAGGTAAACACACACATATCCAAACATGCTCCAATGTTCAGTTCAGTTCATTGAACAAAACTGAAGATAATTAGTCTTATTTATCTTAGGTTTTAGAATCGGTTATTTGAAGTTCAACCAACCAAAAAGATTCTTTAAAAATAACAGCATTACTGCTATACTGCACTTTTACGTGAACTACAGATAACCATGCTGCCATGTTTTAAAATAAATGTTATCAAACAAACAAAAATAAAAAAAAACGTCTCTAAGAAAGTGCCATGAGAAAGCAGTTTGTAGCATCACTAGCATGCTAACACCGGAGGCGAAGTTGTGTGACATCCCGTGTAATAAAACAAAATAATAATAAAAGCTTTATCTACGGTGTATTAAAACGGCAGTACGATTTATCTTAGGGTTATTATACCAGCTGGCTAAAAGAGGCGAAACGTTAACTTACTTTAAACGCTAGGGTGGTTGTTCCGTGCAGTAACTCTATTTTCCTCTCAACTCCGCACTCGTCTCCGTCAACGAGCGGGTTTTTAACAGAAAAACTTAGGCTTTCTCCGGGCAAAGCCTCTGATTCCAGACCGTTCTGTCCGGATCCATAACCAAAAGCCAAGGGCTGGCGATAATCAAGTGAAAAATCCTCACATTCGCTGCTCAATAGATTAGCAAGAGCCATCTTTGAAAGTGTGTGATGAACAAGCAACTTCCGCTACATAAGAAAGGGACGCTTTACGTCGTGGTGCCTGAGTTAAACAGCGCCCCCTGTGGTTTGGAGTAATTACATGCAGGTAGAAAAAAACACGATTCAGTTTCAATGTTGAGCAAAACTAGCAATACAAATAATCCTAATGGCATGGACATATGCATTTTGTCCTGGTTATGTAAATAAATGTCAAACTTTAGATATGGTTAGACTTTATTCCTTATCAGTTCAAGTCCCTCCTTAGTCACATAAATGTTTTATGCTCTATTTAGCAGCTTTGGGTGATTCCAGTCTTTTCTTTCCCTTTGCATCCTCATCCCTCCTTTTCATGTCTCTGTAATATTCATCTTTCAGGTCCTCCCTCTTTCTTTGGCTCCATCCCTGGGCTGTGACGTGGAAAAGATCAACGTTATTTCCAGAGTAGGCATCCCTGTGAGTGGCTCTGAACACTGCCTCTCTTGCCAAGGCGACTGCTTCCTCTTTACACAAGCTCCAACTGAGGCCCCCATCCAGGACTCCGTACGCATAGGGAGAACCTGAGCCCACGGAGAAGACCTCTCCCTGCAGTCTGGCCCCATCACTGCACACATAAATAAGTTTCGGGCCACCGTTAGAGGATGGAGAATATGCTGTGTAAGGAACATCTTGGTCTCTAACAACAGCTGAAGTGCCTTCATCATCAGATTTTGAAGTGCCTCGGGCCTCCTCTTCCTTATCCCATCCGCACAGAGTGAGAGCTACACACACGTCGGTGCCTTTGAAGGGATGCAGCATGAATGAGAGAAGCTTGGCAGTCCCACGTATGGAGAGGCGACGCCTGTGACGCAGCTGGTAGAGCCTGAGCTCTCTGATCAGAATACGCTCCCACAACATGCAGTCCGCTCCGCTGCCTGAGGAGGTGACCACTAAATGGGAGTGAACAGGTGTAATCTTATGAACCGCTGGACAGGCAACAAGCCCCCCAGCACTGGCGCGCGTGTCCGCCGCTGCGATGACCCCACCTTGGAAGATGAAACCCAGGGTTGTGGTTCCATGGGCCAGAGGGAAAGGCCTGCGTACCACTGAGCGGTTTGGCGTGTTGATGAAAGACGTAGCCCTTGGCAGAGATGGTATGAAAAAGTTAAATGGAATCCCACAGGTTTTTTCCACTCTTTTCTGTTTGCTACATTTAAGGTCGTTAAAGCCAGTCACACGAATGGATGCAGTTGGATCCTCCTCAGCAGAAAGAGGGAAACAATCTTTGAAGTTACAGACGTCCTCCAAAGCCATAACGGGGTTAAAAATGATGCAGGTAGAAGAAGAAAATCAGTTTTCTGATGAAAGTGAGGCTAAAAAGTTATCTTCAAATGCACAGAGAGCAGGATACTTCCATTTAAAAAATAATCAACAGTCACAAAGTTGTTAACAGAGTCGTTAGAGCCTTTTATGTGTTGGGGATCCCTCCCAGCAGCAAGAAACTTCAACTTCTGTCTGTCACCCTTTTATATCTCTGGCAAAAATGACAGCTTGCACAAATGTGCACATGCACCAACATATCCAGGAGCAATCTTGTTGGTAGAAGGGATATTTTACCTGTCATGCTGTGAATCTGATATGCAGTGAAGCCACTTTCTGCTAACTTTACATTCTGTGCTGAGTGAGTCACCTGGCTGGTTTGGTGAAAGATGCTTGTATCATGCAAGTTTTACTTTGCACTTTCTCGTGGCACAGCAAAGAAGTTTACTCATCTTCTTGACATATGTCTACATGAAATGTAAAAACTGACATACTGAAAACACAAACTGGAAAATGCATACAATTAAAAATCCTTCATTTTAATTGTCGCGGTCTTTTACGAGATGTGCAACTGGGGGCCTGGAAAAGACATTTTGGCTCCAGACGCCTCGCTACGCAATAAGCGCTCACATCCGTGTGGATCCAAGATGGCGCCGGTTTCCTGGGAGAGCCCGGCCAAAACAGCCCCACTCAACGCGTTCAGTCGGCCGAAGTCATGGCGTCCGCCAGTACAGGGAGCAGAGTGTCCTGCGGGAGAGATTTGAATTGCGTACCGGAGATTGCGGAGACGTTGTCTGCTGTCGCCAAACTCGGGTGAGGACAGCTCGTGACCCTGCATGTTGTCTTTTTTATTAGGTGCAATGAGAAAAACGGAGTAACGCGCTGTCTGGTTAGCCAGTCAGTTTGTGATGCTTGCTAAGCTAGCCGGCGAGTTATAAGCACGTGCGCAATTACAATGATGCTGGAAACCAGTTTGAGGGGTTTGTAAAGACATTTGAAAAAACGGAGGCACAATTTCATAAACTGTTTGGATTAAAAGAATTGGAAAGCAGACTTGTGTTTTGTTTTTATTCTGTGTTATTAACAAATGAATGTAATTTTCTGCCTTTGCCCCTCCGGTGGACAGGTTTGATTTCCTGTGCATGCCCCTGTTCCACCCGAGGTTCAGGAGAGAGTTTGAGCTGGAGCCCGCTAAATCCCGCCTCGGTGCCCAGACCCGGTCAGACCTGCTGCTATGTGGACGAGGTGTGTGTTTCTACCTCCCTACCTTTTACTTGTGTCAGGTTTTTGTTGTCATTCCTTTGTTCGTCTTCGTAAGATACACAAATAAACTATTGGAAATGGGACTTTTCCGGTAACATGACGGTTGATCTGAAACGTGATTTTAATAAGGGTAATTAAAATGCAATTGTTCCAACATGTCAGGTATTTCGTAGGAAAACTGACTGTTTAAATGCATATAAACTTTTTAAAATGTTCTGTATTATTTATAAAGTTCTGAGTCTTTTGACATGCAAACAATGTTGATTTGCTGTCAAGATGTTTTGAAAAAATAGGAAAGTCATGAAACTCAGATGTTGAGTCATCATATTTCCAGAGCATTTTTATTATTGGCCAGTTTGATTAAAGAGGTATTTAAAAACTATTAGCCAATAAACCATATTTTAAAAAAACACTGATATAAAGACTTCAGGCTTTTTTGGTATGCTGTGGCTCATTGCTTAAGAAGAATACTTGAAGGAAGTCAAGCATTTAAAGTGGCTCGAGAGATCCATGAGAAATACAAACGTTGGTTATTTTTCCTGTTCTCTCTCATCTAGATTGGAATACTCTCATTGTTGGGAAGCTCTCACCGTGGATCGATGCTGATTCAGAAATTGAGACAGAGCGCAGGAACTCAGAGGCTGTAAGTCTTTCTCCCTGTGGACGGTGTCTTTCATGTAAACTTTAATACTAATAAGGAAAATTGTGGCTTGAGTGAACTCTTGTCTGTTGCTTTCTAATCAGTCTTTCTGTCATCCTTTTCTTATTCTATTTTATCTTCAGGCTTTAACACAAGAGCTGAACTTCTCAGCCTACCTGGGTCTGCCTGTCTTAATGATCCCCCTGAGGGGCCCTCATAACGCCAATCTAGCCCGAGTGCTGCTCAACCACATCCACACGGGGCACCACACCTCAAACGTAAGACGCTCGGCTCGCCGTCCCACGTCTGAGGCCAGCGCTTTAACCTCTGTTTTCCTCTGCGGCCGCTAGTTCTGGATACAAGTCCCCCTCGTGGCGTCGGAGGACACGCGGGAAGATCTGATTGAAAACGAGCCGGCCACCTCTGCCGACGACACCAGCACGGATGAGAAGACCTGGACCTGGTCAGTCCGTCCCCCTCCCTAAGAGGCCGCGCCGAGGCGGTTGCCTCTCATTCCCTTAACTCGCCAAATCTCCTCTTTTCAGGTGGCACTCATTAAGAACCCTTTGTGATTACAACAAGAGGATCTGTCTAGGTGAGAAAACGCTCCTCGCAAAGCAGCACGCTGGTTCAAACGTTGCTACTGAAAAGGTGCCTTTTGTCCTCCCGAAGCCATCGAGATCGGAGCAGATCTGCCGTCAGAATCCGTGATCGATAAATGGCTCGGAGAACCCATCAAAGCAGCCATACTTCCAACCAGCATCTTCTTAACCAATAAGCAGGGCTTCCCTGTCTTGTCAAAAGCCCATCAGAGGATAATCTTGCGTCTCTTTAAGGTATCTGCATCCCTCAACAGCCACTTGTGACCGGACGACGTCTTTAGGCTTACGTTTCCTGAAAGGCTCCCTCTCTTCTCTCTTCTCAGTTGGAGGCCCAGTTCATCTTCACAGGCACCAGTCGGCACACTGATAAGCACTTCAGGTCCTACCTGCAGTACCTGGAATACCTCAACCAGAACAGGTCAGGACCCAACTCCTACGAGGTCTTCGCCAAAGGCTACGAGGACTACCTTCAGTCCCCACTGCAGGTCAGGAAGCTCTGGTCCAGCTCCCGTTTTCCCTTTGACCTCTTTAGACGCTGAATGGTTTTGAAAAAAGTTTTCTTCCATCTTACAGCCTCTCATGGACAACTTGGAGTCACAGACGTATGAAGTGTTTGAGAAGGATCCCATTAAATATTCTCAGTACCAGCAGGTAAATCCGCCAGCGACCTGTAACTGATTTTTTTCCCTTTTTTTTTAAACTGGGGAAACTGTGACTGTGTTGTTTTATGCATCTTTTAAGGGCAAACGGTTCATTTTGCGGTGGTATCAATATCGACCTGATTTCTCTTCTTTTCGTGCACAGGCGGTGTATAAGTGTCTCCTGGACCGAGTACCAGAGGAGCAGAAAGACACTAATGTCCAGTGAGTACTGTCCCGTCGGCCCCGTGGACCCAGTGATTCAGGCCTGGGGGCTTTAACGTGGACGGGGGGGCTGAGTTTCACCGGGTGACCTTCCCTCTGCGCAGGGTGCTGATGGTGCTGGGCGCGGGGCGGGGTCCTCTGGTCAACGCGTCCCTGAACGCCGCCCGGCAGGCCGACAGGAAGCTGAAGGTGTACGCCGTGGAGAAGAACCCCAACGCCGTGGTCACGTGAGTGGAGGGCCGCGTTCCGCCGTCCACAGCCTGTGAGGGGAAGACGCGACGGGAGAGCAGCCTCAGACGGTTTAATCTCATTTTCTGATGTTCAGACTAGAGAACTGGCGTTTCGAGGAGTGGGGGGACCAGGTGACGGTGGTGTCGTGCGACATGCGGGAGTGGGCGGCTCCGGAGAAGGCCGACATCATCGTGAGCGAGCTGCTGGGGTCGTTCGGCGACAACGAGCTCTCCCCCGAGTGCCTGGACGGGGCGCAGCACTTCCTGAAAGGTCCCGCCTCTCTCCCCGTCCCCCGTCCCCCCCTCCCCCACGCACCCCGCCTCACCCCCCCCTCGCCGTCTCGTCCGTTTCAGACGACGGCGTCAGCATCCCCTGCTCCTACACCTCCTTCCTGGCCCCCCTGTCCTCCTCCAAGCTCTACAACGAGGTGCGCGGCTGCCGGGAGCGCGACAAGGACCCCGAGTGCCACTTTGAGACGCCCTACGTGGTGCGCCTCCACAACTTCCACCAGCTGGCCGAGCCCAAGGCCTGCTTCACCTTCAAGCACCCCACCACAGGTCCGATTCCAAAATTTTCAACTCAATACCGATACTAGGGAAAATAATCGATACCACAAGGATAATAACAAAGATCCCAAAATTTAACTGAATTTCTACATGTTAGTGTTTCAAACTGACCTATTACTGATTGTATCGTGGCCGGTGGCCCGCATTAATGTTGGCGTGTTATTATTAGCCATTAGCCGCAGCTAGCAATTCAAGGCTAATGTCACGTTAATGATCATAAACAACCTAAATAAATAAATCAGAGAGAAAGAGAAAGATACCTGGGGGGTTTGTATCAATACTTTTGAAAATGAGTATCTTACCTGGATACAACGTTTTGGTATCAATACTTTTGACAACCTTCTGCCATCACACGGCACAGCAGCAGTCTCGGCCTGAGTCCTACCGTTGACCAGCTGTCCTCTCCTTCCTCTCAGACATGAACAACAACCGCTATCAGTGCCTCCGCTTCTCAGTGGGCTGCAACTCGGTGCTGCACGGCTTCGCCGGCTACTTCGAGACCACTCTGTACAAAGACGTCACTCTCAGTAAGTCAGCCGAGCGGTGAGGGAGTCAGGTGTTGTGTTTTTGTGTGTTAGTTTTAATGCCGTGTCTGTTTTTCTGCAGGTATAAAGCCTGAAACGCATTCCCCTGGAATGTTCTCCTGGTTCCCCATTCTCTTCCCACTCAAAGTAAGTCGGCAGGCTGCGGGACGGCCTCGTCTCCACAGCGGGTCCTCAGACCTGTATAGGGATGTTTTGCATTTCCGATACCGAAACCGGCCTACCCGAACATGTACTAAAGTTTAAAGTTATTTAGCCTCCTTACGTAGTTGTCAGACTCATGTTGAACAGGGATTTACTCTGATAACAACTTAATGACGGCTCCCGATCAAGCTTTTGCACTCCCGATCCGATACTGGCCTGTCAGAGCATGCATTAACGTTTAAAGTTATTTAGCTTACTTACAGACTCATGTTGAACAGGGATTTACTCTGATAACTCAATGGTTAGGACACAGACCTGTGGGTTAGGAGATGCTAATGCTAATGCTATTGCTCGTGTGGGATCGGACTTTTAAAAAAAAAAAAAACTGGATTGGCATTTTCTCCTGCCGGCCGATACACAGTTGTTTGCGAATATGGGCAAACTTAGACCTGTAACCGGTGTTTCCCTCCAACAGCAGCCCATCACCGTACCGCGGGACAGCGACATCGCCGTGCGCTTCTGGCGCTGCAACAACGGGAAGAAAGTTTGGTACGAGTGGGCGGTGACCGAGCCGTCCTGCTCCGCCATCCACAACCCGGCCGGCCGCTCCTACACCATCGGCCTGTGAGGAAGCCCCCGCCGGCCCAGGAGCGCCTCCACCAGCCGCCCGCCCGGCGCCGTTTACCGCCGCCGGGTCAGATCCACCGCCGCGTCTTCCAGCGACCCGAGGGAGACGCAGACCGTCCCCCAGACTCATCCAGTCCGTGTCCAAGACCCCACCCACCAGTCCACTGTGCTGAACCCCGTTTTGTTTTCTCTCTCCAGCTGCTTCTGCAGACAAACACACACACACACACACACACACACACACGCAGTCCGACGTAACCTTTGCCTTATCAGACACATTCCACGTGATTCATGAGTAGATGCTTGGTGTCCGTCCCCCCCCCCCCGTCGGTGTCAGTGGGGCAGACTTTTCTGGTCATGTTTGACAACCCGGTTTCTAGCATTTGTTTTCTGTACGTTTGAACCATTTAAATAAAAACACTGTAATGATCTCCATTTGCTCTGCAGTCTGTTTCAAACTCACTTTTAGTTTAAAAATGACCGGAGCAGCGTTGACGGTTTTCACTCGGACCGAGTCGTCATTTTCACCTCCAGATTTCTTCAAAGAAATCACTTCTTTCTTCTTATTCATAAGATCAGTCTGAATGGTAAATCCTCTTTAAAAAGAACAGAGATAGTTGCTGGGATGGAGGTAAAGTTTTGGAGGGTAGAAGTTTGCTTCCGAACTTGCACTGAGCAGGAATCCTGCTGTGCTCAAAGTGAGATGTAAATGTTGCTCTGATGGCTTCAGCACAAAGTCCCGAGAGATGAAACTTTTTAACCAAAGGGAGCAGAAAGGGACGACCACAGAAGATCTGCTTTTGTCTTACCCCGGCTGTCTTTCAGTAAATGCATGAAGCCGAGCGTCCATTTGGGGGATCGCTGAGGAAATAAAGTTCATCCGGTCAAAACACTCACCAGCATTACAGCTTTAACATTTCACTCCTCTACTTTTTGCTGACCGTGTCAATCAGTTGACCCAACCTTGCTAAAGCAAAGTTTGACGGCTCTTTTCTTTTTCTGCCAAAACAAAAGCTGCAAGGTGAAAAATCCACAAAACTGGGCAGTTTGCAGCTGCCCAGTTATCATTCTATGCTGCTCTTTAAAAAACATTAACTCTCTTCTTTCCTTTTAAGCTGCCATGGATAAAAGCAGCTGCTAAATGCACAAATGTCAACGTAAAAAGCGCATGAATCCTACAAATCATTGACCGGTTCAGGAGCAGAACTCTGCCGCCAGGGAACAAGGTCACTGTGAGAGTAATGACCACCTGCTTAATGGAGGAGGACTACTTTATCCATCACTGTCAGAGGGCAAGAGCAGAGGGCTCCCAGGCTGTGTGATTTTTTTTTTTTTTTACTTTATCCGGAAGGAATATTCTTTTCAAAACGAAAAGGGACAAGAATGACCTGCATCTCGTGTTGTTGGACGTTGCCCAAACCAGGTTGTATCATTTGCCCCGGGCTTTTTTTTACATCCCCAAGAACATCATGTACAGTCTAACAGTGAAAGACAGAATCCCAAAGAAAATTCCAGAAAATCACATCATATGAATTTATAAAAATTGATAACCATCTGATGAGGAAAAATAAGCATTCTTTGTAAGTGGGCAAACCTGCAAAATCAACAAGGGGTCAAATACTTATTTACATCACTGTATGTGCTTCTTATGACGCACACATTTTAAAGGGAAACGAAAACATAAACTGTTTAAGCAAAAGTGAGGCAGAAAAATGTTTTTTTTTGTGTTATATCGGTAAAAAGTTACTGAGATTCATCATTCTGCTCAAACTGTTCTTAGTTAGTTAGTTGTTGTTAGTTGTTAGAATTCTGTTTGTAAGTGATGAGAAATGTAAAACCTTTAAACGTGGTAAGGGTACAAATGAACAGAAAATTCCCCCCAAGATGAGTTCTGAATCAGGTTGCCTGCGTGGTGGTTCAGTTTTTTACTGCTGAGTGCAACAGCCCGCCGGGACTTCAAGGTCAGTGCAGTTTTATAGCAACAACAGAAAAACAACATTTTTGTAGCTAAAGAGCTCTTAAAATTCTGGATTACAACTGGAATTTGGGAGTGAGGTGACTCCCAAATATCAGCTCACCCGTCAGGGAGATGCTGTTAAATGAGATGGTGATCATTCTGTCTTATTGTATTCACAGAGGATTCATTTCTGTTTCAAATTAATTGTGTGTGCATGCAAAATGTTGTCGCCTGTTGCTCGCAAACAATCTAATCATTTGTTTTCTCAGTCCCTCAGGAAACATCACTGGATCTGCGATTTTTGTGAGTCCCAAGGGGGTCCTAGAGAATGCAGGCTGAGTGGGGGGCGGCCATCTTTGTGTGGGCCACAGCCAGATATGGGAGTCACCATCCCCAAGTCAGGGGGGAGACTCATGTATCAAGGTCCCCCTTGGAGGTTTGGCTGGGTGAGCGTTGTCTTATGTGATGAACAAAAAGCAAAACATCGGTTAAAACTCAAAGATCTGAGATGGTAACCTGAAAGCCAGGTCAGAAAAAGGATGCTTTTGGGAAAAGATGGGTGTCTATGTAGATGTGGCCGGGCTCCAGGATGCCTTATGTGTAATGAGGGTTCATTGGTAACCCACATCCCATTGTTCTCATTATATATTCTAAACATCTTTATAATGTGGTTGTGTGTTTCTGGGATCCCGGCATGTTGACCCAGTTCCATTCATTTGTCCTTTCTCAGGCGAAATGCCTGACTGGATTACTACAAAAGTCTGTGCATCTTGCTAATTTCCGTTGAGGTCCATCCCATTTTGTTCCTCCTATCCTTTATGGATGTGGCTCATTAACCATTATCAACCATTATCTACCCCCCTAACCAGTATGTGGTGGCTCTAACCTTCTCCGGCTACATCCTAAAGCCCCTTTTCCCCTCTTCCCTGCCCCCAAACACCGGCCTCCGCCTCCACAAGTCATGATGGACGATCGGCCGAGTGTCAAAGGGCAACTAACAGCGCGCTCAAAGGTAATCCATATAACTTTATTAAAGTCCTCCATGCTGACGAAAAAATTGCTTTCGCTGAGCCTCCTGTGTTCAGCTCCAGTCAGACTCAGAGCCCCCCAGTGAGGCGACGCAATCAGTGAAAGTGGTTCAGGGCTCCAATTAGGAGCAGGGCTTATCTAAATGAACCCTTCTACTGGATTCTGGAGTGGGAAAACCCATGATTACTTCTAAATCATCTACTGATGTTTGAGGGTTTTCTATTTTGGAGAGGAAGACACGTTCCAGTTACCATAAGAAGATTCATAAAATAGATCTCTGGGTCCTTATCAGGAACAGTTATTTTCTTTCATGCTCTTTAGGATGGGGCCTTACTTTTATCTATTTATTAATTTACATCTAATCTGATTGAGTGTTTTCACACTTTTCAAAGAGATAGATGAGTGACAGTGGGTCTGGTGTTTGCCTGATTACGCACACGAATAGAATCTCAACATGGCCTAAATAAGAATTTACACTTCGGATGGATCAGAAGAAATAAACGTCAGACGGAAAAAGTGGGATCATCCCAATTGACGTTGTCTCCCGCCGTTGTGTCTTTCATAGTAGCATTTTTCTTTCTCTTTACACTGACTTCTGATGAAAAACTACTAAGTATCTTAGTAATCAGCTGGCTCAGAATGTGCTGCCAGAACATTTTCAGTTCTGGCTCTTTTCCTTTGAAAGATTCTTCCCTCCTTATGGGCTTTTTTTATTTGATCCCATAAAGGTTGATGTCTTTCTTATTTCTGACCATACTCCTGACTTTGTGCATTTGAGCAGTGAGGTGAGCAGAGTTTTATTCCCCCTCTGTCATTGTTACAATGGTAGTTTTTAAGTATGAGGGTAATTATTTTTGAGTGCCTCAGAGCCCTGTGACTCAGAGGATTTGGGATCTGTCTGTAAAAGGGAGATTAGTCACATATATAGCTGCTTTTCATCTCTGTCTTAATCCACACACAGACACACACACAAGGTCATAATGTTAGATTTTAATGGTAATATTTGTGAGGATTTCTTCTTTTTTCACCTTCCCTTTTCACTTTTGTCCATCCTTGTACAGAGACAGCACTGGGGTATTCAGAAAGTTTACACGGATAAAACTTCTTCTTTTTGGGGGGGAACGGGCTAAATTACATGTTGTAGTTTTTTTATTTTTCCCTCCGTGAGGTTTTCAGTCCTGCTGCCATTATTCTGAACTGGACTGTGTGTTTCACTGAGCTTTCCCCTCATCTGGCACGTGCACACGATAAGTCAGCACCATCTGGCCGCGCTCTCAGCTCTGAACCGTCTCCGTCGGTGCCTGTCAGGCTGCTCCCCGCCGGTGCCAGAGAAGGCCATCGGGCACGTCTGCTGGCCGTGAATCATGTCAGCCGCTCCCGGCCTGACTGTTTACCGTGACTCATGACAAACAACGCAATCTCCACTTCTTGTTTTGTTGGTGCTGTCTATCAGGGCCGGTGTTAAAATGGAGCCGCCTGGCCCTCTCCACATGTTCAGTCCATCTCCGCTCTGCTGACATTGTGCCCCAGTGACATTTACACCCTCGTAAACTACCTTGGCTTTATCCCCGTCTCTTCTACGTCGTTACTGTTGGTGGGCAGATTGTGCAGCGGGTAGAGCAACCTGAAATGTCTCCACCAAGCAAGCAAGCGAGCAAATATCCTTTCTTTTCATGGTAATGCAAAGTTAGTGCTATAGAGGTTTTAACTAAATCTATACAACATAAACAGAGTATAGCAGTTTTATAGAGTTTACTTCGATATTAGTTAAGTAACTGTTTCAGGGTTTGTTTAACTGCATAGTTTTAGAGTTTAACACTTTTCCCTATCTTTTAGGTTGCCAAACTGGATTGAAATGACAGCTGCTTGACAGCTTTGGCTGACTGGTTCTACTCCAGGTGGGACTTGTAAGGCCGGTGATCTATCTGCTGTTCTGGGTCTATCTGCTGGTCTTTTCCCTTTACTCTGAGGTAGTGGCTTAGCCATTATGAAACCTCGAGTGCCTGCTTATTTTCTGGGAGTCTACTGGAAATACGAGTCGCAGTTCTTTAATACTGCTATGGGGAAGTAAAAATGAAACTTTTACTGTGTGTCCTGTGTAGGCTGATATTTCTATTTCAGGAGGCACTCACACACAGAGTACACTAACACTATGGTGTCTGCAAAGTAAAGAGTAAAAATATTGGGTTAATAAGTAAAGACTGAGGTTAATGAGTCAGATCTGGTATGTTTTTGTCCTCCAACTGTGTCCAGATTAAATGGCCCATATTTTTGAAAAAGCTCTTTTTATAGGCCTGCCCTGGGAAAGAGGAGAAGCCGGAGCCATAAGGACCTGAAATGGAAGTCGAAGATGGGGAAAATGGAATACGCTTATACATACACGGGTCATGATTTTCAAACACAATTCATCATGCACCATGTGCACAATTGTTTAATTGCGTTTTTCATTGCAGTATTCCACATGTGTTCCTTTATTTTTGCACAGGGAGGTTGTGGAACATGCTTGACTTGTACTTATTGTTCATATTGTTTTGTAAATAAAATCTTCAAAGTGAAGCGACAACATTTTGTTTATTTGACTCCAGATGTCTGTATTTTCTGACAGAATACATAGTAATATAATACTTTAACATCCCTTTATACACCCTGAGGCATTGGTTTGAGATTTATTGAATTTACCTGTTTGGACAACTGCAGCAGAAAGCTTGTTTTTTCCATTAAAAAAAGGCTCTCAACAAACTACAGAAATTCTGGAACAATGTACTTTAAATTGATGAGACCATAGTGGAGATGTTTGGTTATCTTGCACACCATCATTATTAAAATCAAAACCAGCATATAATCACAAATGACTCAACTGTCAAGCATGGTAGAGGGAGTCTGATGATTTGGGCTTGTTTTAACTCCAAAACACCTGGACACTAAGCAGGTTCTGAGATGATCATGAACTCCTAGTAGTAGAAGTATTCTAAAGCCTGAAACTGGGTCAAACCACGCGGCAATGAGACCAAATTCTGCAGCAAATCCACAGCAGAAATTCAGAAAAATCTAAGAATTAAGATTTTGCAGTGGTCCAGTCAAAATCCCAAATGAAGCTGACTTTTAATCATCTAGATATTTGATGCCTACAAATGATGCTTTGGACATTTGGTGTGAAGCTTTTAAAAAGTAGTCTTTATTGAGTCTGGCTTTGCTGTGCAGTGGACCGAGCCTTTGCAGGCCTCTTCGGCCTCATCAATGTTTCATCCCCCCGCTGAAGCACCTGCCAGCGAGCGGGTGGAGTTTTCCCACAATGAATGATCAAATTGCGGAAGTCTTGCACAGGTATGAACATCCGAGATGTCAAGAGGTGCTGCTGCCATGACAGGAAATGGAGATGTCATGCCTTCAAAGTACAATCCAAGTCGTGCATCGGTTTCATGAGACAGAGGCAAGAATGTGTGCCCATATTTCTACACCTCTGTAAGATCAGATGTTTTGCATCCTCATCCACAACAAACCTGCAGGTGGAGGAAAATTATGTCAAATGAAAGTTAGGACATCTATCGTTTCTTAAGCTTTTATAAGTATGTCATTTGACAACAATATGTGTGTGCCTGCTTTTTCTCATCTGAAATTGATGAAGCAACAATAATCAGATTGCTTTTGTTCTTCACGCTTTGTGAAGTGAAATATAACTGTAACTATAAGCTGTGTAGATTTATCAATTATATTGTTGCACATAACATTTTTATAATAAACATCACCTCAAAGCAAGAGGGTTCCCGGTTTGAGTCCTGGCCTCTCTCGCTGTGTATGTGTGGGCACTTTGCAAATGCTTTCTCTTAACGTCCAAAAGCATGTGCGTTAGTAAAACGGGAGATTCTAGATTGACCTCTGACCCTGTGATGGACTGCCTGCCCAGTGTGTATATGCCTCCTCTACTGGGTGTAAGTGGGATTATCAACCTGATTTATGCACTTTTATATCTTTTTTTTTTACTATAGAGTGGCAATCGTGTTTTCTGATTTCCCATGTTTCACATATCATGTAGTGAGGGCTATTGATTGGGCGACGCATATTTACATATATATATATATATATATATATATATATATATATATGTAACACACACACACGCACGCACACACACATATATACATATATGTGTGTGTGTTTTTAAACATAATTTAAAGGCTGTAAATGCAATTTTCAAAAGGTTTTTTATTTGATAAAGCGCACACCGGAAGTTACTTCACCCATTTCCGCTGTCTTGACAGCACCTCTACTGGTGTACAGTATTTGGCGTTACAGCCAACTGGCTACTGCCGAGTGTTGAAGGGGGCTGATAGTCGGGGCTACTCTCCGAGTTCACTCAACAACATCGAGGTACGTCGTCATTTGGGAGTGTAAACCTCTTCCCGCCGCAGGCTGCCGCTGTCAGTTAGCTAGCTCTCAAACTCGACCCTCTCCTGCGCTGCCAGCATCCATAACGTTAGCTCGCCTCTGTCAGCGGGCTAGCCCCGGACTGCTTTCCCCCGACCCGCTCCAGGGACCGCGGGAGGGCGACGCTCGGCTGTCAGGCTCACGGGGAAGTTGGGCGTATTGACCACGAAAATAAGAGAGGCGGCCGCCATTTGAGCCAGAAAGCAGCAGAAAAAACCACCCGGTCTGTCAGCGGTTACACGAGTGGGTTTGATAAACTGGCAACGTTGAAGTTGTCTTTTTTTTTCTTTTTTTCAAGACGTGCACTTGAACGCACCAGGTTAAGTTCAGTCTTTTTCTGAGCTCGTGGAAATTCTGACACATTTTTTTTGGCGTGAGCTCTGATTAGCTGGCAGGCACCTGGTGGTGTGGTAACAGGAAGTGAAATACTCAGTGAATGTCTGAGCATGGAGCCGTTTGTTGAACTGTGTCAACACCCCCTCTCAGCCCTTCTAACCCCTCTCCCACCCCCTCTCTCTCTCTGTCTGTCTGTCTTCCTCTCTCTCTCTCACGCACGCGCAGCCATGTCTCCATCAGTTCCCTTGCAGGAGATGATCCGTGCCATCAGGTCAGCCCGGACCCAGTGTGAGGAGCGGGGGGTCATCCAGAGGGAGTGTGCAGCCATCCGGGCGCAGTTCAGACAGACCGACAACGGAGGGCGGTCGCACAACCTGGCAAAGCTCCTCTACGTGCACATGCTGGGCTACCCGGCTCACTTCGGTCAGGTGAGGGGATTTTGCTAAACCCCGGTCATGAGTTTTCCGGGGTCGCTGGGGTGAGCAAACCGCTGAGGCACAAAAAAAAAAACTAAAGCCCAGCCTGTCAGAGCGCGTCAGCCGTAAGTAGGCCAGCCAGGCACGGAAGAGGACGCCTCTGGAGCCGACCCCGGCCTCTGCCCGGGTCCTTTGGAGAGAAGGGACGCCGGCCCTCGGGCAGAAGAGGCGACAGCGTTTTCATCCAGCTCCTCATTTGCTCCTCTCCCAGATGGAGTGCGTTCGTATGATCGCCAGCCCTCGATACAGCGACAAGCGCGTGGGCTACCTGGGAGCCATGATGCTGCTGGACGAGAAGCAGGACGCCAGCCTCCTCATCACCAACTCCATCAAGAAGTAAGCAGCTGCTGGCAGACGACCAGCTTCCTCATGAGGAAATTAGCACAGGAGCAACAGTTTCATCCTTTTTTTTTTCTGTTCTGGCATCGAACATCATAACTAGATAGGAGGCAAGAAACAGAATCTCGTCTCTGTTTTTCCACGCACTTATCTGGCTGCCCGTGTTGTGTTCAGTGACCTCTCTCATAGCAACCAGTACGTGCAGTCTCTGGCTCTGTGCACGCTGGCCTGTATGGGATCTGCGGAGATGTGCAGGGATCTGGCACCAGAGATAGAACGGCTCCTACGAGCCTCCAACTCCTACATAAAGAAAAAGGTGAGAGCCTTCTTTTTTTCTTTTTAAACGATCATTATGAAATTAAAAGTGATGGGACGGTGTCACTTAGACTAGTGTTGGAGATAATGTGTCCAGTTTCTATCCTTTTTTTCAGTCTTTCAGGTAAATCTCTCAACCCGGCATGAGATAGCATCTCATATTAGCTGGTTTACAGGTTAGAAAGAAAGAAAGAAGAAGAAAAATCCTGAAAAGCTCAGAATGCTCAATAAAAACTAGACTTCAAAAGCAATTTTTTATTCTCTAGAAATCAGAGCAGGCATGTCGCATGTTTCAAAATAGACTATTTGAACAAAGATATTGGCAGAAATACATCTCCATAAAAGTCGGGGCTGTCCAGAGTAGATTCCCCTTCCACTCCTCAAACTGGAAGATGTGGAGCATCTGGGATTTTCTGTTCAAATATTTTTATTGTGAAGCAGACAGAATATCACTAATACTTCCATCTATGATCTATACAATGCTTAATTATTATTTTTTAAAGCAGCTTAAGTCACTACAAATAACTAAATAAATGAAAAAAAAATACATATTGATACTGATTCATTGCAATAATCCCAACTTGTTTTTAAACATGTTGCTATAGGCATTTTTCATTATTTTGAATTTTTTGGTTTGTTTTTTAACTTCCCAACTTTTTTGGAGCCAGGATTGTTTAAGCTTCGTAGTCTCCAGATCCCTCCTCAGCAGACAGGTTGATTTTACGTTGTCCTCTCTAATCTTCAGGCAGCTTTGTGTGCCGTTCACATCGTGAGGAAGGTCCATGAGCTGGGAGAGCTCTTTGCCCCCGCCGCCCGCTCCCTCCTCAGCGAGAAGAACCACGGTGAGCCCATCGCGCCTTTCCCTCAAACCCGGTGTCACAAATGCCGTTTCCACCACAACTCTGATCTAATCTGATGTCCAGGCGTGCTCCATGGAGCCGTGGTGCTCATCACCGAGCTGTGCGAGCGGAACCCAGAAACTCTGGAGCGGTTCAGAAAGGTCGGGGCCGCCCTCGCTTCCCCATCAGGACACAGAGAACATCTTCTCATGTCTTTGTGCCTATTTTTTATTTATTTATTTTTACAGACGGTGCCTGATCTAGTCCAGATCATGAAAGGCCTGGTCATCTCTGGGTATTCTCCTGACCACGACGTGGCAGGAGTCAGTGATCCTTTCCTACAGGTCAGCTGGAAATCATCTAGAACGTATCACAGCCACTTACTGTTCCCGATTTGATTCTGGATGGAAAATCTGCACACGTAGTCTCACTCTGAGCACATTTAGTGATTTATACACCTAGTTGGGCCATGTCTAGTAAGTCATTTGACAGTTTCATTGGTTGCTTTCCTTCATTTACTCTATTTGTTTTTCAAATTTTCATTTCAGTTTTCACATATCTCTGAGCGTAAAGTTTTCCAAAACAAAAACTAAGCTACGCTTCGTAGGGTGTTTTAATATATTTGTGCTTCCTGTGTCTGACATTAACCCTGACCTAATGGGCCTAACTCACCATGGAAATAACAGTTCTGTAGTTCAGCAGCAAAAAGTGGCTCAGGTCTGCAGTTCTTGGTGTTGATATTCCAGATGTCTGTTTTTTTTATTCTTTAGCACTGACACACACAGGCTCATCCTCCTCTGTTCCCTCTCCTCTAACTCCCTCTTCAGGTGCGCATCTTGAGGCTCTTGCGGATCCTCGGGCACAACAATGAATCGGCGAGCGACGCCATGAACGACCTGCTGGCTCAGGTTTGACCTCCGGCCTTAAGCGTTAAGAGTCAGAGTGACCTGTTTCCAGGTTTTTGAAGCTCTTCCGTCCACTCTGCAGGTAGCCACCAACACAGACAGCACCAAGACGGTGGGCAACGCTGTGCTGTATGAGACCGTGCTCACCGTTTTAGACATCAAGTCAGAGAGCGGCCTCAGAGTAAGACCCACCCCCCCTCCCATCTGCACCTGGGGACTGACGTTGCTCAGCTAGTAACAAATGATCCTATTGTCCAATCAACATTCAGGTTCTGGCTGTGAACATCCTGGGGAGGTTTCTCCTGAACAACGACAGAAACATCCGGTCAGTGCCGCTCTCTCTCCTCACACAACGCCGTCTGTTCTCCCTTCCTCTTTCTAATATCCCCTCCATCTATCCAGCTCATGTCTCAGGGCTATTTTGACTTCCTCATCCCACGCCGCCGATGGCAATCGCTCGCTGCCAAAGAGATAAATCTCCTCCCAGCAGGCCGATGTCATCTGAGGTCAATAATTAATCCCCCCCCCCAAAAAAACAGCGTTTCCTCTTAGGCCACCAGGCCCCGGCTGTGTGTCTCATCAGTCTGACCTCTCAGTTTCAGCCCCTGTCTCGTGTTGTGAGGTGTTACGGCTGCTTGGAGGGTTTGATTAGACTGCTGTCTTTAGCGTGTCCCCGTAGGGGCCTTGTGGACAGACGGGTCTGTCTGGTTTCTGCCTGCAAGGCCTTGGAATAAGACCATTTAATTCCCGTCAGACCCGCCTGTTTAGATAACATCTTTCCTTTTCCTGCATAAAAAAACCTGATTAGTCGGGTGAGCTGTTTCAAGTGGAAAAATCTGTTGAGTTTCTCCAGCATTCAATCTTTTTTAGATTAAAAAAAAAAAATAGTAAAGCGAGCTTGGTTTTGTGTGTTATTTTCCGCAGGTATATCGCCATGACGTCTCTTCAAAAGATAGTGGGGACGGACCACAATGCCGTGCAGCGCCACCGGGGAACCATAGTGGACTGCCTGAAGGACCACGACGCGTCCGTGAAGAGGTAGCGGCGGCTCGGCTCTGGCCGCTCAGGCCTCCGGTAGCAGGCAGGACTCTGTTTTAACGTGATCTGTTTTATAAAGCCCAAACAAAGCCAGCTTAATCTTCATAAGTGCTTTGACACGCTCCATTTACAAAGGTAATGCTGGCTTCCTGCTCATTAGGACTTTATTCGGGTTAACTGTTGATATGCTGTCTACTTGCATGGTTAAAAGATTTGTAAAAAATAATTTTAAATTTGATGGCAGTGATGCATCTCACAGGCCCCAGTTCCTCCTCCTCCTCCTGTAAACATCTGGAATCACAATCAGCTGCTGAGCCTTTGGGAGGGAAAAGTTTTTCTGTTCTGGTTTGAAATGGGTTTCCTGCTGCTCCAGCTAATCAAATTTACATTATCAAGTTTCACAATAAATGCATTCTTCCATTTTTTTTTCTTGGTCGACCTGTTTGTTCCCGATCGGCGTTCGACCGGGGGTGTTTGTTTTTTTCCTGCTCCTTCTAGGCGTGCCTTGGAGCTCTCCTTGGCTCTCGTGTCGGCCTCCAACATCCGCTCCATGATGAAGGAGCTGCTCCTCTTCCTCTCCTCCTGCCCCGCTGAGCTCAGGGCTCACACCACCAGCGGCATCTTCAACGCCGCCGAAAGGTAGGCTGCACGCCGCCGACGGGCCAGGAGGCCTCTCCCCTCACGGGCGTCTTTTTGTTGCATTGCGGCCGTGCGCACACGCTCTGTTTGCACCCCTATTGTTCAGCCGTGCGAGTGACTAGATTCAACTGTGCTGTCATGAGGATGAGAAAAAAAAAAGAACTAAAGCCATCCAGCTGTTGTGCTGGGTCCCTGTAGTTGTGTTTCACAGCTGCATGCAGCAGCCTCCACAGGAAATGACGCCCATGCATTAAGATACATGTGTGTGTGTCTGTGTCTCTGTCAGGTATGCCCCCTCCCAGCGATGGCACATAGACACCATCCTGCATGTCCTCACCACGGTAAATGCAGAGCCAGCCACTCTCCTTCGTCTCTTACAGTTTCCTCACACAGGCAGGATATAAAAGCACACGTCCGATCACACATTTGCTCCACTCCTCACACCCTGATTTTTCTTTTAATTAGACTGCTGCTGATTGTAGGCCAAAGTTAAAGCTTTGAAACGGTCGCCCATAGACCAGAGGGGGCCCAGTACATGGGTTGTACCTTACACATGAATATCTTTATAAAAAAGCAGCAAACGCTGTGCACAGCTCACAGGATGCGAAAAGCCCTCCCCCTCCCCCCAGATTAATTTGCCTACCTGTCCATTTGTACTGAACGTTTCTTCCCAGTCAGCTCCACATGCATTTGCATGCGTTTGGACATCAACAAAAAGGTGAGCTGAAAGGAGCAAATCCATCAGCCACTCTGCAAATGCTGCAGATGTAAATACACACAGTTTTTTCCCCTGATTCTCAGGCTTGAATAACACAGCCACTTATCTGTACTAGAGAAGATGTGGTATATTTTTCTGTCAGTGTCCCTTCTGATCCACACGACTCATTGTGGTTCAGTTAAATGCAGTGACCCTAACACATCCCCCAGCTAACAACATTTCCCGGTTCTTCTGCGCGTGGTTGCCGCTCTGACAGGCGGGGGGGGACGTGAGGGATGAGACGGTGCCCAACCTGATCCAACTCATCACCAACACCTCCGAGCTGCACTGTTACACCGTCCACAAGCTGTACCGGGCCCTGCTCACCGACATATCCCAGGTCTGTGCCTCCGGGGCGCCGCGCCATCTGTCCAAGGCTAAAAGAGAACATTTAACATTTCACTTGTATGTTGTGTCTTAAGAAGAAATTAAGACATTACCACATTTATCGCAACTGATGGTGGTTTTATCCTCAGATGAGCATCTGTAACTGTCACAAAGCAGACAGCGCTGGTCTGGCTTTACAGCAGAGAGAATCACTGAGCTTTTCAGTTAGAAAATTGGCCGACGCAGCCAGGTTTATTTTTGGACCGGAGTCAGGCGGGCAGCAGATCCCCAGTCTCCCAACAGATTCTGGCAGAATAGATGCTCCAGACGGCGCTGCACACCGGACTTCCTCTAAATGCCATATCTGTGTATGCAGCCATCTCTGGTCCAGGTGGCGTGCTGGTGTATTGGAGAGTACGGAGACCTGCTGCTGAGGGGGGAGTGCCAGGAGGCCGAGCCCGCACAGGTACAAGCTCAAAGCAGCCACACACAAACAGAGCAGTGCACATCCATAAGACTAACAATTTTCTGCTAATAGAACCGAGTTTTTGTTTTGTTTCTTTGTTTTTACTGTAGGCTGTTGTATAATAACTCAACCAGACCAAACCCAGCCAGGACAAACTTCTGTCTAAGTCTATTCACAGTTCTGTGCATACATGCTGAGGTGGGGCGGTCTGAACTCAGACCCCTGCACACGCAGTCACACACACTTTGACTGAGCACACTGGACCACTGAAAGTGACAAAGCTTTTCCATTTACTGCTCCAAAAAGGTTGTGTGTGTGGCAGGTTTTCCAGTAAAAGCGTGTGGTTTGGGAAGGAACTTAAGACATGGGAAATAATCGGCTTAATATTAAGGAAGAAGTTAAAAAAGCAACGACAGGATTGGATTTCTTTGAGTGTGTGACTGAGAAAAAAGTTTAAACCTCTTGAAATGAAAGCTGCTGTCGGTCTCCATCAGGTCACGGAGGAGGACGTCCTGGACGCCTTGGAAACGGTCCTGCAGTCTCACATGTCGTCCCCGACAACCAGAGGCTTCGCTCTGACCGCCACCATGAAGCTGAGCACGCGCATCACCGACAACGTGGAGTAAGGACAACCAAGCATGCTGGCGATCCTCCCCCGTTTTCTTTCCTTCTTTTGTTTCATGGAGTAAGTGGTTGTTCTCCGCGTTCCCTTACAGCCGGATCAGAAGCATCGTCAGCATCTACGGCAGCTGCATGGACGTGGAGCTCCAGCAGAGGGCGGTTGAATACAATGCCCTCTTTAAGAAGTACGACCACATGAGGTAGGCAGTGGACGGGGAGTGGACGGGGAGCGGGCCGGTGCCGGCGGAGCGAGGGACGAGCCACGAGTGCCCCGGTCTCCACAGGGCGGCGGTGCTGGAGAGGATGCCCGTGATCGAGAAGAACTCGCCGGGTCACACCAACGGGGAGGCCGCGGGGGAGCCCGCCAAGGAGAGCCAGCCCGCCCGGGTCAAGCAGGGAGAGGCCGCGCTGCCCCAGCCGCTGGCCGGCCAGGTGGGCAGCCCACACGAGTGTCTCCACAGCCACAGAGTGTGTCTGGCAGGTTTTATTCTCGGGTGAGCAGCCAGTGAAGGTTTGTCGTCCCCCAGGTGTGTGACCTCCTGGACCTGCTGGGTGGCTCTGAGGAGCCCCTGCGGCCCGCCGCGACGGGAAGCGGCGCAGTGCTGGCGGCCGGGACCCCCCCGGCTGCCGGAGGGGCCCTTCTGGACCTGCTGGGGGGGCTGGATCCGGCTCCCCTAACAGCAGGTGCGTCCCCACAGACACAGACGACACTCAGAACGCTGACGTGAATGAGAGGACAGGTGGATGTGCTTTTTCTGGTGTGTGTGTGTGTGTGTGTGTGTGTCGTGTGATTGTTTTTGATGAGTAACTTGTTTTTCTGCAGCCCCCACAGTGACCGTGTACGAGAAGGCCGGCGTGGCGCTGACACTGAGCTGCGAGAGCCAGTCGGACACGGCCCTGACCGCCACACTGGAGGCCTCCAACTCGTCCGACTCGGACATCAGCGGCTTCACCCTGCAGGCGGCGGTGCCCAAGGTCTGTACCGAAGAAAAGATGTCACTCTGAGACCAGGCCACTTTCACCACTGTTCACCACAAGCAGGATTCAAGGGATCAATTCCAACCCTAACATTCCTCCATCTTTTATCTGTTTTTATTTTTATATATTATCACAGAGCTGCTTTGAAAGAGGGACTCTTGTTGGCTTCGTGCCCTTCAGCTTACAGAACAGAAATCGGCACAGATTTCATCACACATTATTTTCCCCATTTTTTTAAGCCCTTCAGATATTGAAGTTGGCTATAAATCCTGGCAATAATACACAACATTTTAAACAAGGATCTTGTTTTGAATTTGACATCGGTTAAAGAACATGTCGCTCAAAGCTCAAGGAAAACTGATTAAATACAAACTGTTTTTACAGGTTTTGGAGCAACACAAACCTCAACGCACCATGTTTTTTTTAAGGATGGTTGCTTGCTTATTTAGGGAAAACAATCAGAATTCTATTTAAAAGTTTAATATTTTGAAAATGAGCAAAACTACTGAATGTTGAGGTGAAGAATCCTCCCATCAGTGACTCCAGATGGCAGTAGAGGCTCCTCACACATTTAGAGAAGGTGGTCATTTTAAACCCTCCGCCCCCGCACCAGGCAGAGTGGGTTCCTAGTAAAACCAGGGGGGAAAAGGAGTAGCAGCTCTTTGATAACTTCAGGTGGAGGGATCGGCCTGGGAATACGTGTGTGAGCTGGAGCAGCTCCTTCACTCAGATGCTACAAACAGTTTAGGAAGTTTGGCACTTTTCAACGGCAAAAATCCCAAATCTCTGATCCAGATATGGAGGAGGCGAGGAAGCGCCTCTGACACGACTCATCAGCGTGAGCCAGAAACAAGGAAGCTGATGGGACCGTCTTCCCGTACATAAGGAAAATTCCCAAATATTCCAGTTGATTCGAGTCATTTGTGAGGATGTGGGTTCAGAGTTTTCCTGTCCTGGGCGTTCCCCCTTACTAAGCTACCATAGCTACGACGTCAGTGCCCCAAATGAAACTCAATCTGTTTGCGTTGGCAGTGCTCTGAACTTCAAAGGTTTATTTTCTTCCCTCCAGAGTGTGCAGTTACACATGAAGGCCCCCAGCAGGGACTCGCTTCCCGCTCGAGGAACAGCAAAAGTGACTCAGGTGGTGGTTCTGAGCAACCCAAACAAGGTGGGTCAGCCAAGCTGCAGTCTGTTCTGTAGTTTTTAGGGATTCTGATCCAGGGACAGGGCAGAGAAGCCGTCTGCCTATCTGCTGTAATATATGTAGAAAGAATCCTCCTACATTCTATAAATGTCTTATACAGTGTCTGACTGAAAGAGTGCACCTTTGTTTTGTCGTCATCCCGAGTCATGTGACTGCTTCTCAAACCTCGCAGGTCAATCTAAAAATGAGGGTCCGCATCTCTTACACCAGCCAGGGTTCAACCATCCAGGACACCGTCCAGATCGACTCCTTCCCTGGTCTCAGTGCTGCTGGACACTGACCAACATGGCCACGACCAGGAGCAGCCGGACGCTGAGAGCTGCTCCCAGGAAACCCCAACACCTCTTCTGTTTGTTTTTCATCAGACACACATGACGAATAGTTCACCTTTAGGATTCTGCAGGTAAAATATGGATTAACTAAAGTATCTGTAGTTTTTAGAGAGGTTTTAAGAACAACAGATAACAGACTCAGTAACATATAGTTTTTTTTTTGTTTTGTTTTTAAGATTGTGAACTGGATTTCACACACATCAGGCGTCCAGTCCCGACCATATCTCCACACAAGCAGACTTTAGATGCGACATCCCACTTAAATGATACAAAGATGTTACAGCTGCCCGGTTACGTAGCCATGACAACTCTTAGAACGCTAATCATTCAACTACAGCAATCATGGTTTGGGTCAGTTTACCATCAGTGACTTTTCAAGACTACCAGGGACTTTTTTCTTTTTCTTTTTTAATAAAAAAGCTATTCTACCAAAAAAATATTTAAGGGAAAAAATATTTTTGTGCAAGACCTTTTACCAGATATCAAAATCATATTCACACAGCAACCTACCGGCATCTCCAGGGTCCGCAGACTTTTAAAACCCACCGCTGATTGTATTTAACAGCTGCAGTATTCTGTCAGCCGGGTGAGCCACCATCATTTCTACTGCAAAAGTTAGGTCCTAGGTATTTTTATCTTTATCCTCTTTGCACTGATAAAAGTAGAATACTACCAAGAAATGAGACACTTCCAACACTACTACTGTTTGTTTTTGTTTTTTTATTGTATGTAATACAATTAGTCAATTCTAGATTGAAGGGCGGGAGATTTTTTGGACTGCTTTTACTTGCCTGTGTGACAATTCCAAATACCCACTTTACACTCCTGATTCATTCCCCTGTGCCTTTTATTATATTACTTGTTCTTTTTCAAATATAATTGTGTGTTCTTTGAGGGGAGGGGGGGGCAAGACTATTTAAATGTAAATTATGCTCGCAAGATTTCTGGTTTTGATTCCCATACAAGCATCACTTTTCCTGGCAAAAATAACTATCTTTTGTTTACAGATGTATTTATGAGGATTGTGTCTAGTGGTTTGAGGCTAACAAAAAAAAGAAGTCACAGTACTGTCTATGAAAATGTTTTTTAATGTCTAACGTAAGCACAACCAAGACGTGTACGTGTCTGGGAACTCGACACCAGTGGTTGAATGAAGTGCATAATACAAATTTTAGTGGGAAAACGGCATGTTAATACTAATTTGATGAATCATTGCTGCTCACCAAGCAGTTTAACACTAGAAACAAGAGAATTAAGGCGAAATCTGCTCGGCTTTGTGTATCTACCCTGATTAAGATGGGTAGGCCAGAGAGAATGTTCTGTCCCCTGACTGAAGTGTTCTTGATTACTCAGTCTTGGAATAAAAGAAATACTCAGGAGTGATGCGCTTTTTGTGTCTGAACTCATCCGGTGCGTTTCTACTGGAGAACAAGACTTACAGGAAATCAACTTCAGCATTTATTCACAAGCAAAAAGAACACACTGTTCTCAAACTAGCTTTCACAAAGCACTGGTGCCAGCATGAACTGTTTGAAATCAGAAAGCCAATGTGAGTTTACCAAAAAAAAAAAAAAAAAACATCTAAAAAAAGAAGAAGAACGTTTTTTTTTTTGGAGGGATGATTTAGGGTTTTTCTTTTTTTTTTTTAAACTTGTCCCCTTCTCTCCGTCTCTCTTCACTGTTGCGTTTGCCTGATGGGTGGAATTTCAGATATCTCTGCAGTAACATGGTTATAAACGCCTAAGAGTTGGCACGCAGCTGGTCTCACGACAACAGGGACTCATGACGAGGGGGAGAGGGGCTGGCTGCTCCTGTGGGGTGTCCATCCCCCTCTTAGTGCCAACACCAGGTGAAGCACGGAGCCCCCCTGGATCTTGTAATCTGCAGCGGTCTTTTCATCGTTCCTAAGGACAAAAAACAAACCAACATGAAGGACCAAAATGTCTTGGATCAGACCACTTTAAGAGCCTTTTCGCAACTGCAGAACAAAATGAGCCGCTCACATCTGTTTTCCACTGTAGATGAGCCTCTGTTGCTGCGGAGGGATCCCTTCCTTCTCTTCCACCCTCTCTTTGATTCGCTCAACCTTGATTTACACACACAACAAATTAATTTTCTTAGGTTAGGTAATACCAGTACCACTCCGCTCTGACCCCAGGAGGGTTTTATCAAGGGCTGTCACCTTGTCTGTGGGCTCTATGTCAATCTCAATCTCCTTTCCAGTCAGGGTCTGAAAGAGGAACACAGCTTTGTTCAAACGTCACACCAAAACTAAAAATCATTTTTTAAAAACAAGCACTCTTCAGTAGCTTCAGTGTTAAACAAAATCATAAGACCAAAGCCCATCATGGCCCCTTCTCCCGGGCAGAACGGAAGCTGTTCAAGGCCAATGGAACCGAGCCCCACAAAATAACTGTCCTATATCTGCACTGGTGGATTTTGGTGTCATGCCAATGAGTTTTCTGTGCGCTTTGATAAAACACAACTTCTAAAAACTGTTTTTAACTCTCACAAGTCGGAGTCTGTCTGACACCACGGCGACGGAAAAGGCTCAATAACTGTCACCCAAATGGTGGCAACGTTTCTCCAAAGATAGCTGACGCTTTCCGTTCGCACGGTGCCTAAAACAGCGAGTCACTCAATGGGTAAATGTTGCCGGGTTCAACATGGACCGAGGCCCAAAAAATAACCGGCGAGGCTGCCATTATATTAGCGGGCTTCAGCGAAGCAAACGACGGGTTTGCGGTAAACTTCAAGTTTTCTGACTGGAAAAAAAACACACAGTTCACTTACCTTAACTTTGATCAGCATTCTGAAAAAAAACAACTACTGCTATTAGAAAGGGAATTAGCTGATAAGAGACTAAAACAATTAGCAAATCAGCACAGAAAGGCTGCTCTGGTGAATTTGCCGGACTTTACTTCCTGTGTAGCATCCTAACAGTCCGTGCGTGACAGTGTCTCATTACACCCGCAGAAGGTTCCGCATTGTAAAGGTTGTGGCGGCAAAACATCACTGCTCGGTTTAGTTATGGTTCTCGAGAAGAAACTTCTTTATTTGCATAAAATCCATTATATTAATGGACAATTTTAATAACGCACCCACACACAAAAACTATCATGGTGATATACTACTTTAGTGTGGGACTAAACTGCATCAGCATTTTCTACTAAAAGCAAAACAAGAAAGTACAAATTCAAGCTCCTCTTGTAAGAGAAACAGTAGTCAAGTTTTTTTTTTTTTTTGGTGGGCGGTAATTGTTTTTGACATTCAATATACAGTATTTGATCACAGAACGCGATATAGAGTCCTTTTCAAGTTTATTTCCTATTCGAGGTTTGAAATTTATTCCAGCAATGGGCAACATGAAAAAAGGAGCATTTTCGGTGATATTAGTCATTTCTTGACTGTCCCACCATTTTTTTCTGAAATGTATTCCTATTTGATTAATAAAGATGACCTTGATGCACACTCGTTATTTCCAGGATTGTGCATTAAACGGACTGGGGTCTTCATTTCAAGCTCTGACTAAAATTTTCCAACAGGCAGCAAAAGCAGCACAACTGTCTGCTTCACACAGATGTTTGCAATTCAGCTGATTGGGCAAGAGACCTATAAAGTTCCCCATTTTCAGCATGGCCTGTATCATTTAGTCATGGTGATGTACTGCTATCTAGGTGTGATTGTCTGTGCTGTGTTTGTAACAACAGCTGCTTCTGGTCCAGGTATCCGGCACTCATGCACAGACAAATTCCACAGCTCGTTTCTGTTGGGGTTTTGGGGAACCGTGATGTTTTTATTTTAAAATTAATTTTTGTCATTTGTTTGCAGATATCAATGTAGAATGTGGAGAAAACGCTGTGAAAATCACATGGCGGGTCGGCTCCCATGTTGTTCCTTATGCATCTCGACTATTCCTCGGAACTTGTATGCCATCCGAGTGGACGGTTCTCCCCAACGGGGAAGGGGAAGCGCGGTTTGACTACAACTTTGCTGACTGTAAATTCAAAAAGATGGTAATGCACCTACAAAACTGAACATCAAGAAGCAGTTTTGCTTTAATAACCTCTTAATCTTGTTCTCCTTCAGATGAAGGGGAAACGTGTGGTTTATCGAAATGAGCTTGCCTTCAGACCACACCCAAGGACTAAACCTGCCGTCTTCACAAGCCCTGTTGAATGTCTTTGGAAACGGTAAAATACTAGCTTGCATAAATGTTTTTGTTCAATATAGTGGTAAGTAACTATCTTCCTACAGTCCTGAAGGGAGACTTCTCCAACAAATGAACCCTGGCTCAGGAACTGCAACAGGGCACAGTCAGCTGGTCTTCCACATGTCACTCCTCAATGGTACTTCTGCTTCCAACAAGACCTCACAAATTCAAAGTGCAGTTGAGTTTATTTTTTCTTTATTTGTAGACCAGTTAACAGGTGTGGCAAAGACGAATGTGGTTCCACTGGGATCATTCATGCCGATCTGGGCGGCCGTCGAGCAGAAATCCCATCAACCATTGCTGCTCCTCATGGAGGAGTGCGTTGCTGCAAGTACACCAGAGCTGCACCGTGGGAGCCATATTTACCCCATCATTGGCAATAAAGGGTGGGACTTGCAATTATCCTGATGAGTCATTGTATCAAACTCTCCATCCCTGGAACTGGACTTTCTTTCTCCCCTCTTCAGGTGTCTCTTTGAAAGCAAGAGGGGAGGTTCCATGTTCCTTCCTCGGTACCATTCATCTGCCTTAATACTGTATCTCCAGTCATTCCGGTTTGGTGTTGGAGAGGAAGTGAGTGTAAATTATGCCTGGTGGCAAGTGTGTGTGTATTATGTATAAACTTGTGTTTTGGCCTTTCCAGGTCTACATCCACTGCAATTTGGCTGTGTGGGATTACACTAGTCTTAACAAAGAAAAAAAGACTTGCCATGTCAAGGAACATGGAGGGTAACTATCAATTCTAAGATTTACTCTGGACCAGCTGGTCTTCATATAAAGAAGTCCTGCAGATGAATACTTTGCATGAAGAATTAAAGTAAATGGTGTGACAGTTCTACAATGCGCAAGTCCTAACAGATGGCTTTAACCTCTCAGATGGGAGCTGCTGGATGACCCTTCTCGGAGCGCACTCTGCCGGTGCTGCGACTCAACCTGTGCATCTCGGGAAAAGAGAGAAGCTGATATGGGTATAGTTGAGTAACATTGACCCAACACCTCAAACATGCTTAAAGACTAATTTTCCCTCTTCCCCTGCAGAGACCAATGGCACAAAATACAACTCTGTGTTGGGACCACTCATCATACAGGACAACATGGGCTCTAGTGGGAACTCTACATTTGCTGACCCTGTCACTGAAGTTAAAGTGGAGGTGTGAAGTACTTCATACAGCTACCTATTCCCATATTTTATTTACAGAAAAGGCTACCACAAAACTGAAGAGTCAACCTGTTGACATGATGGCATTTGCTTTGAGATGTTTCCAAAATGGCTGATCTGTCTCTGCTTTTGGTTAATTTGTATGTAAATATGTGAAATAAATGAAGAAAATCATGATCTCCTTTTATCTGTAATTGTGGGTGACGCCAGGGTTGTAAAGTATCTCCTGCTCTCAAACATCTGTGGCACTCTTGGGTGATTCAGACTTTCTTATTCCCTAATGAGTCTCCAGGGGGGTATAAGTGGGCTTTAATATGTTGCCCATTTTTAGACCTAGACTGTTTGAGCTTGGTAAATTTTTACCAAGCTAATACTCATCTAAAGCAGCCTGTTTCAGTAAAGTGTAGCTGCTGCTAAACTTGGATGGTTTGAAACCTCAATGCAGCTCTGACTTTCCCAAAATCCATGAATAAAGCCAAACTCAAAGTTCAATGCCACACACTCTCTAATCCAGTGTTAACCCTGGTCTTCAGGGTCCATAGTCATGCATGTTTCCTGGCTCCAGCACACCTAATTCTGATAAATGGATCAGCTCTGCAGAAGGATAACATGCTTCAAATCAGGTCTGCTGGAGCTGGGCTACATGGGAAAAAATGCAGGTATTTGGGAACTGAGCACAAGTTAAACTGCTCTGATGCAATGTTAACCTGGGACAGGCACATAAACCCCTTGGTTCAAGTCCCTGCTGTGGCTGTGCTCTCCTGCTCTGGCTATCCAAAAACCTGTATGTTGGTGTCACTGGTGCTCTGAATTCCATGTGCATGGTGCGACCTCTTGTCCATTGACTGCTAGGATTGGCTAAATCTGTCCAGCTTTCATGGAGATTTACTGGAGATGCAAAACATCCATAATAGCTGTCCCATAATAAACATCTTTTTGCATTTCCAAGCATTAAAGTATATCTTTCTACATTTTTCTTTAACCGTGTTCATTGCATGTGACTTCACAAAATTAGACTATACATTAGACTCATTTAGTGAAGTCGCATGCATGTGACTAAACATAAATGTTTATCAATCCAGTTTCTCTTCTGTAAGGAGAACAAACTGTAAACATAAAACATATAAGTCAGCCCTTTTCCTGGTCAAGGTCTAAAAAAGTGAAGTCCCTATCTTGACCCGACTGTACATTAATGTAAGGCCTCCTGATACAACGTTAGTGTGGATCTTCCTTTTTTTTTAAATGGGTATTTACCTCATAGCTCATCCGCTGATTGAAGCCACCCTTGTGACTGTTGCTGCAACACCAGGTGAAACCATTTTCCTTGATTTCCTCGTCCCCAGCCAGAGAGAATAAGACCTCTCTCTGCCAGTCAGGAGGGAAGCGTTTCTGGTCAGGATGGCGTGCTCTTGGTGTTGTGTACTGTTGTTCTGCCTGGTGGCTGCCAGTTCAGTCAATTCAGGTAAGATGTTGACACACAAAAAAATATATATCTTTAACTAATTGTCATTAGAAAAGCCATGGCCTTTATTTTATACTATGCAGAGATGAAGCTGGACTGCAGGCCTGACCATGTGACGCTGGTCTGGAAGGACAGCCGATCCCAGGCTGATACTTCAATGTTCCGTCTTGGAAACTGCTTTCCTACTAGTTTCACTCAAAGAGAAGTGGTCTTCAGTGTGGACCTAAACGACTGTAATTTCATGAAACTGGTGAGCTCAACACGCCTATCTGGATGTATTGTAGTGTTTCTGTTGACTGACTTGTATCTCTCCAAGGTGACTGGAAATGAGGTAAACTACACAAATGAGTTGATCTACACTTCCTCTCCTGAGTCTTATGTCCAACCCTTTAGTCTCCATGTTCTCTGCTCATATGAAAGGTGAGCCTTTGCCTACCGTAACTGGGTTGAAACTGCACTCCCTCTGAACACTAAACCTACTGAGCTGTACCTCTCATACAGGCCTAAAGACTGGTTCCCTTCCATCTATGAGCCAGTTTTTTCTACATATGGATTTGAAGACCTGGTGTTCCACTTTGGAATCATGAATGGTGGGTGGCAAATTTATCGTGGTCCAGAGTGACCACAACTAAAGGACTTGTTTAAAATTGTTTTTTGTTTTTTTTTCGTTTGCGCTCCAGCTGACTTCTCAGGCCCTGCTGAATCCACAACTTTCCCCCTGGGCTCCATGATCCCTGTCATGGCCAGCGTGGAGCAGCTGAACCATCAGCCACTGCTGCTGCATATGGAGGAATGTGTTGCTGCCACCACACCAGAGCTCCATCCGGGATCCTACTCCTATCCACTCATCACTAATAAGGGGTACTTGCCCGGCCTGACATAAGCTGTGTGCCGTCACTAGCCGTCCAAAGTGACGCTGATGGTTTCTCCTCTCAGATGTCTCGTGGACAGCAAGTCTTCACGCACAAAATTTGAACCAAGGCATAAATCCTCCGAAATCCAGCTATCTCTGCAGGCCTTTAGGTTTGCTCTTGGGCAAGGGGTAAGCGACTTAAATCATGTGATGCTATATTTGGAGTAGAGCCCAAGGCATAGGATAAACCATTTTCTCCCCGCTGAATGCAAAACTACATCAGGTTTACCTCCACTGCAGCCTTGTGGCTTGGGACCCAAATGAACTGGACCAAACCAAGAAGGCCTGCCATTACTTGGATCACAGGTAAAGGCAACCCAAAGTGATGAATGCAGGTCTCTTGGAAGTCGAACGCGCTTCTTCCTCTAACTTGTCTACTTTGTGCAGCTGGGAACTCCTGGATGACCCCACATACAGCAACTTGTGCGACTGCTGTGACTCAGTCTGCAAGACTAGAAGGAAAAGAGGCGTCTCATCAGGTACGGCTCTGAAATGTCACACGTAGTCGTCTTTGACTAACTTCCATCTCTTTCCATAGGGAAGACCAGCTTGGCACATAAAGCAGTCATTGGCCCAATTACCATCACCGATGCTTCATGAGGCGTCATGGCCACAAGACTGGATCAACGTTTCAAGCAGTTTTTTAAGACCGCTATATACTTTATATACAATAAAATTCCAGAATCATCTTGTGAAGTTTTGGGTTTATTGTGCAAATGACTATTTGTGAGCTCAAATGCTAGTTTCCTCTCCAGTGGCCTGTTAAGTTGGAGTGTATACATTTTATTTACAACTGTAGCATGTACTCTACTAAAAGTTATAAATGACGTGTCCAAATATGGCCAGAAGAAAAAATGGCGCCCAAAAAAGCAACGTTCTAATGGTTGTGTATAAAGGAGGGAAGAGGCAACCCGTTTCTACACGAAGCAAAGAGGCGGATTCGAATCTAACGGTCAGCCTGAGCACGTTTCTGCCGGAAAACCGGACTCTACGACCGGGACTGCAAAGTATCCGAAACTACTCTGAAAACCTCCCGACTTCAGGCTAGAGAACCGGGAATAAGTACGTGCTAATGGTGTAAAACTAATGGCCTTAGTCAGTTTTTCGCACCCTGTTTACTAATGTTTTAGCAGTTATGCTAAACGGAAGCCTCCGCTTAAGCTAACTAGTTGGCTGGAGTCATGGTTGTGTATCCACCACGTATGTCTTTAATTCTGACAGATTCTATCAAAACCTGTTTCATTATAACTTTTTGAAATTTTATTTGAATTTTTCTCACCACTGCCTAATATGCTAATTTATATTGGGGTTCACATTGTTCCTTGGAGCAAAGTTAGAGGGTTCAGGCCAGCATTGTGTGTAATTAAAGGAAGTTTTGGCACATTTACTCTTGTATATTTGCAGACAAAGAAGCTCAACAGACTCCAAATGGACTGGTTCCACTGTAACCAGTGCTTCAGGAAACAGGGCTCCAAGTTTGCCGTGTCCAGCTGTGGCCACATCTGCTGTGAGACGTGCATCAAACCAAGTAAGATGGAGATATTGGACCTATTTAGCTTTTCTGGATCGCCACCTTCTAAGTTGTCACTAAACAGTTAGACCCCAGTGAGGATGAGGGATGCTCGTGGCTTTTGTGACGTCTTTCTCCCCCCGTTTTCTCAGACCAGTGCAGCATATGTGGGGCCAGCTGCAGCTACCTGGCCATCTCCGATGAGGTGGGTGAGTCCCACGTGCTGACAACCGGTTCATGTGCGCATTCCACCTACGAACAGTTGTATCTGCATCCGTGTCTGTTTCAGATGAAGCCCCAGGAAAAGGTGTTTTTTAAGGACCCCGTGAAAGTCATAGAGTCCAGGCTGGCACACATATCCCAGGTCGGTCCCCAGAGCAGCACCAACCCCAAACTGCCTCTTTTGTAATAAAAAAAGTGAATTATTCCCTCTACCAATGCTTCTATTGGAAAGCGTTGTTACAAATACTGTGTATGAGGCAAGAATTCTCCTCACTGGTGACGTCTCCACACTCAACAGATTGCAAGTTTTCAGAAGATGCAGATGGAGAGAGTGACGGCTCACTTCAAGAACAAGTCCTGCGAGCTGGAGAGGCGTCTGAAAGAAGTGACGGAGCAGGGTTACAGGTGACTTAGGTAGCTGGCTCTATGGCTGCGTGAATAAAGCTCACAGCCGCAAACGTCTGCCGTCACCAGGCAGCTGACGGAGCTGCGGAGGGAGAACGCCGACTTAAAAAAGCAACTGTCGGAGCTGAGAAGAGAGACCACCGAGTTAAAAAAGCCCCTTTCTCAAAGGAGGGTAAGTCTCCAAACTACAAACAACATCCTGACAAGGACAAATTCAGCATTTCTTCTTCTTTTCTTTTTTTTTTTTAACCGGAACTCTTTCTGTGTCACAGGTTTCTCCAGCACAGTTTCAAACAAATGGGTAAAAGCAATTTTAAACCTTTAATTAGACCTTTGTTTTTGTATAATTAACCCCCCCCCACTGCTCCACTAACAGGGCCCAGAGGGTGTCGCTGCCTGTGGCCGTTACCTCCCCAGGTAACCCCCCTCATTTAAGCCGGGGTGTCTGAACGGGCTGTTTCTGGGGACCAGCTCCAAAGGGGCTAATGAGTTATTGTGATGTTTTCCTTCACCAGTGACGCCTCGCTCAAGAGCTATGAGGTATGCATACCGCGGCCTTTTCTGGAGGATTTCAGTCCCCAGCTTGGCCCTGACGCTCACTTTGACTTGTGTGCGTCTTTTTGGGGCGGTCTCAGTCACATCGGCTCAGCCGAGTCCCACCGGTGGCCCAGAGACAGAGGCGCCGGCGTCCTGCTCGCCGTGAGTGTTTTTACGATTATCCAGTTCGGTTTTCAGCATTTTCTGCATCAGGGGAGGAAAACTTAGTCCCGTTTCCTTTTTTTTCTCCCCCAGACTCCTGGATCAGTTTCCAGCTACAGCTCCCTTCATGAGCAAAGTGAGTCCTCAAACCATCTTTTCAGTCAAAGTGCACAACATATTCCGTTACAGTTTTCCCATTTCTCCTAAAAGGAACACCCCCACCCTTCACTACTCCTACAAGGTGAGTAATGCTTTTCTTGGAGTAGTTTGAATCATAAGAAACAAGTCAAATTAGAAAGGATGGGTAGATTTTCCCAATATAACTGAGTCAGATCGTTTCTGTCATCCTCAGAGCTCAGACTCCAGTTTTCCAGTTTCCATTTATGAACGGATTGTTGATACAATCCCCCAGACATTGATGAAATGTTCTTAGACCGGAGATATGTCTGTTCAGCACGGGGCTGTAAGTTCCAGGACTTCTTCAGGGCTGTCATGTTTTTGGGAGGGAAAAAGACCTCTTAAATTTGATCTGTCTTTAGACTAAAAGAGGAGGGATTCCTGTCCACTGTTAAATCTATATGTTTGCAACATTTTGTGTTGATATGATTAATAAACAGCAGAAAACCTTAACTGATCTGACACAGCAGCTGCAGTCTGTCTTAGATGAACTTCACAGCAGCTACTTTGCAGCTTTCAGCACAAATATACACATATAGACGGATGAAATTCAATAATTCATCACTCTCATCTGGACAAAAAAAGAGAAATAAAAGCCACACTCAGTTAAAAAGGAAAATCTTTTACTGGTTTCCAGTGACACAGTTGTGCAAATGAGATTTTTCCAAAGGGGGTAAAATAAACTGAAAACACTGGAGGACACTACATGGACATGGCATTAGCTTTTCATGACTAACGGGACAGAAATGACAAAGTGATGCACACTGCCCTGTCGCCTTTCTGTCAATTCAACCTTTGTCCAGACATTTCTACACAACTAGATTCTGACTCCCTTTAAAGCCTACGTCGTCCTCTGTACCTCAGCTAACGGCATTCGAGGGTGTGGAGTTTCGCATGAGCCGACAACCTGAATATGTTGGTGCCATCCTGGGTGAGATCTGACGAGTGGGAACTACTGTCTGGGTGTGACTCCATCACTACTCACGCTGTGTGTGCACAACCATGCTATGCTCCTCCGCGTGTCTAAATAATAACCCATGAAGTCACACCCTATGCCTATTTAGAGAAAAAATAATAACTCCCCTGAAACGATAACTAAAATGGAAGTTCTTACATCTGGATGCTGAATGGTTGCTGTGCCTACATTTAACCTTAATGTTACAAAGGCGCAGTTATATGCAAATGACATGCAAAGTATTCAAATAATTAACATGATAGAGAGACTAAAAAAAATAAAATCTGTAAATGTGTTTCAGAAAATAAGCCATCGGCATTAAATGTGACCATATTCTGCTCCATGGAGCTTTTTTTTTTTTAAAAAAAAAAAAAAAAGCAACAACCCCTGTGAACTTAGGAATTCAGATACTTTGAAATTATTGGATATTTGGTGAAATGACCGGATTCAATTCACATAAAAGGACAGCAGGCTCTAAAACCAAAGTGCAAGATGTCAGTTCAAAAAAAGAAAAGTTCACGTCCAGTGTGGTTTTCAAGAAAAGGAATAACAATAACAAATCGGTTGTAACGGAATGATTACACGCAGTTATCAGTCAACAAATTTGCCAATCTGGACACTTTTCTGGAGCAGTAAATCAGGTGCTACAGCCGGGTACCAAAAAGTTCAACCATTTTAAATTATACTGCTACAAGTACTAAAAAATATCTGTTGTAGTGATATCTAAACAAAAATAATACGTTCACAAAATATAACAAACCAGTGTAGAGATTACCGTCCTATTTACAGCAACGTAGGCAGCACAAATATAATTCAAGTCTAAATATATTAGAATAAGCAGGGAATGCAGCATATATATATATATCTATAAAAAACAAAAACAAACCTCACTTTGGGGTTGTTCTGGGAAGACTGGATCTTACAAACCTGCCCTAATTAAAGCAATACAAACCACAGTAACAACTATGCTTGCTGGGTAAAATGTGTGTGACGTCTCCGGTCAGTGTTCTTAGGCGTCCGCGGGCTCCGGCCCGGCTTCGGCTTCGGCCTCGTCCTGAGCAGCGAACCAGTCCCGCACCTGCTGGTAGCTCATCCGGGATTTCTTGCATAGCGAGTCAAGGTCTTTTTCCTGTAGTGATCCTGTGGAAATGAAATATGTCACCAGTGGCTGGATATCTGGGGAATCCGTGCTCCGGACGTTCACTTGGCATTTCCTCTTGCGCCCGCTGCCCGGCCGGGTGGACGTCCCGCCGCCGTTGGTCAGCCCGCTGCCGCTCTGCTGCAGGGCCAGCTCGGCCAGGAACTGGTCGCGGACGCCCTTCACCCAGCGCAGCTGGCCGTTCTTCACCGCGTAGCGCGTGTCGCCGAACCACTGGATGACGTCGGCCCGCGGTAGGCCCGTGAGCTTCACCAGCTCCGTGTAGTCTTCGCTTTTGGGCCACTGGCACCTCAGGAAGTGCTGCTTCAGCACGTCCAGCTGCTCCTTGGTCTTCCGGGGCCGCCCGGCCGGGGTGAGGGGCTGCGGGGCGGAGGTGGAGGCCCCCGGGGGGCACGCCGATGTCTGGGGGGGGCTGGCTTTGGCCGCGTTCGCCGACTTCTTGGATGCCCGGAATCTGTATGAAAGGGGTTTGTTGGGGGAGGCCACGAGTTGCGGGCTGCTGGCGGGGGAGGAGTACGGGGAGGACTTGGGTTCCTGCACAGCCTCTGGCTCGGTGCTGCAGGTCTTGGTTAGCTGCAGAGGCTGGTCCTCCGCTTGCTCCTCATCTTTAAAACTGTCCCCGTCTCCCGAGAGCTCCTCCACGATTTCGTGATTTTCTTGCGTGTCGAGGACCTTTTCCCCGAACGCCTCCAGGCTGTTGGACAGAAAAGTCTGGAAGAAGTGGGAGTTCCTGATCCCGTTGTTGCGCGCGGCGTCCAGGGCTTTGACGCCGTTGGGCTGGCGGGACTTTGGGTTGACCAGCGGCAGCGGCTGGGTCTGCGGGTCGTGTTTGGCGGGGGCGGCGGTCTGGGGGGAGTAGTTCTGGGCCGCCGCCAGGCTGCCGCGGCCCACCCGCAGCTGGTAGCGGCTGTCGCTGAACCACTTGCGGATGTCGTTGCGGGTCAGCCCCGTCTCCTCCTGCAGGCGCCGGAGCTCGGCCTCCGCCGGCCAGTTCTCCCGCAGGAAGCTCTTGCGCAGGGCGGCCAGCTGGACTTTGGACTTCTTGTAGCGGCCGTGCCGGTGGTGGCGGGACGGCGACTGGGAGAGGTCGAGGGTCGCGTCGGCCGCCGCGCTGGCCGGCGCCTCGGCCGGCGGGTGGTAGAAGTACGAGTCCTGGGGGGGCGGGAGGGTGGAGCTGAAGCAGGGGGGGCTGGGCTTGGCGGGTTTATAGGCATCTGGGGATTCGCACTTTAAGGTCTTAGTCTGTGGGGTGAAACCGGTCAGGGCAGTGACCTCCTCGTCGCTGTCTTTGTCCTCCACCGTCAGTTTCTGCACGCCGTTGCTCTCGCCCTTCAGCTTGCCGTCCTCTTTCGCGTCCGCCGTCTCGTCGTAAAGCTCGGGGACCGCCAGCTTCCGCCGCGTCTCCTCGATCTCCTCCGAGGACCAGCTAATGCCGTACTTAATTCTCTGGACCATGAACCACACCTTGACTTTGTCCAGCGGCAGAGCGCAGACCCGCGCCAGCGTGCTCACCTCCCGGGAGGACGGGTACGGGAACAGGTTAAAGGCGTGCACCAGTTCCGGGATGGTGTCCAGTTCTCGGGTCTGGTCCGACTGCGTCCACACTAATTTCAGCCCCTCCGAGACCAGAGGGAGGCACACGACCGAGTTGTGGTTGGTGGTGAAGCTGGCCACGCCGCTGGCGTTGCTCTCGGCCGGGCTCGCCGAGCGCCGCCGCTCCTTCGGGGAACATTTAGACTGAGCCGCTTCCTCACACTCAACCTTTGGCACTTTCCGCTCAAAAATCCCAATCATGTCCACAATCTGTCCATTCCTGCCCTCATGCTCAGAGTGTGATGCCATCTGGGCGATTAAAACTGGTTTCAGCCACCTAGAAAGATCACAGAATTAATCATACAGTTATTTTATTTTCTCTCCGTTCGTGCTTAAAAGATAAGATCCCCGCATGTTATTTGTCCAGAGGAATAAGAACTGATGTTTTAAGAACTTTCTGTTCTTAATCATTCGGAAACTTGTCTATCTAAGAAGTGTGTCCCATCCCCCTTCTTTCCGTCCCCGATTCTGAACTCCCAATAAAACTAGTCGTATACTTCGTCCAGACTCCTGCTCCCCTCCCCCAAAGTGCGGCGGCTGACTTTTGTTTTGCATGAGTGGGGGGATTGGTCGCAAAGGGTGGGAGCACGGGGAATGAAAACCAACAAGGAATCCATCACTGTCTATTTTCTCACCCGTACCCAGTTAGGCTTTGTTCCACTTCCAAGTTCTCAGTCCTGAAAGATGAGTGTGGCCTCTTTACAAAGATAGATACCACAACAGAAACCTGTAGAGAGACAGAAACGAAAGGACTTAGCTCCATAGCAAGTTGTATTGTGTTTTAAAACGGTGTTGCAGCTCCAGTGAGATGGAGTTTTCAAAAGGCCTTTTTAGCCCTTTTCTTGATCAACAGGTGTTAGGTTCAAGCACCCCCAGAGAACACGATGCTCATCAAGAGAGCCAAAAAACAGAAATGAATGAATTGTTATAAACCCCTGAATGAATGATAAATGTGTAGGTCCCCCTGTGATCGTCAAACAATGGTAGAAATTAGGCATCTTAAACTAAATGTTATTGTTGAACCTCACACATTTGTATCAATAACTTTAGCCGTCTTTCCAGAGCAGCGTCGCGGATCCACTCAGTAAGCTAAGCCTCGTCTTTATCCGACGGGTTTCGTTTTGGCTTTTTTTCTGGCAAATTAAACCACGAACCATGAATTTTAGAGCCAGCTACACAAACATAAGCTTACGAACCGCGGTATTAGTCACTGGTGACACACGGAACCCGGGAATGAGGTCATTTAAAAGACCCCCCCTCAGGTTGGCCGTTTTAACGACGTACACTTGAACAGCGCATCCGTACTTTTTGGGATATCGTCAAACGAACAGCTATAAAAGTTGCTCCCTGTGCCAGTAACAAAAGCAGTCTAGAACCCCCCCTCCCTCCTCCCGCCTGCACACACACACACTCACACACACACACCACCTTTATGGCGTACCAACTAAAAGGCTTCACACTGCACAGGCGCACTTCGCCGTTAGACACGCTTCAGTGAAACACAAAAATAAACTTACCCAAAATGGCTCAATACCCCCTTTATCCCCGGAATCCGTCCGAGCGATACCAAAACCGAAGAAAAGTCGGGGCTCCCCCCGCCGCCGCTCGCCTTTATACGGCCAAGTTTCCAGAGGCAGTCCGAGGAAACAATACCCTCCGCCTGTTTGTTTGACCCTTGTCTTATTAATCAAGCACCTCGACGGATTACGGTCAGGATTCAAATATAGGAAGCGGCCAAGTTTACCGCCGGTCGTCGGGAGTTCGGCGGTCGGCTAGTAGCCGTCGAGAAAAGCGAAATCTTCCAGCTCGGGACCGAACGGGCTGAGTGGCCGCTTATCCTGCCCCCTTCGCCTGCTCCGTCCGTTGTTGCTTTTGTTCCCAAACTGAGAAGTGTTTCCCCTGTCCGGCCAGTCGACGCGAGGCGGAGCTGAGGACCAGGAAGCCCAGCAGGCCCACATGACTCCCCCACTGACGGGGGTGGGTGTGCCCGTCTGGCCGAGCAGGCCCGGGATTGGAGGGAGCCCGGGCCTGAACCATAAATCCGTTACGGTGGAGCAGATCCCGCAAGCTGCGCCTCCCGTATCAGGGCACAGGACTCCTTTATAGCCAGACGGGGACAAATCTGCTCCATTTTCTTAGAAATTCAACGTAGGAAAAATTTGGGAATTCTCTCTGGGACAGTCGCCTCGTGGCTACAACCAGGCGTGCGTACGCCTCCGTATCAAAACAAACAAAGAAAAAAATGTTTGTTTAAACGTTCACAGTGTGAAAATAAACAGGATTATTTGTAAATGACACATCCAAACTGCGTCTGGATCTCTGAATGTGGCCACACACCCCAAATCTGGGGCAATGCCTGTTTCCTTCTTAATCTTTTGTTATTAAAAAATTAATTCTGACTATTTGCATTAATAGTAAACATCCTGAGATGTGGTTTGATTGTACTTTCGTCTTATTTTTCCTTATTTTGAGAATCACATCAGGAACATAAAGGCAAATCTCTGCCCATTAAATCTTTTGGCTTCTTTGTTCTCTAGTAACACTGAAACAGACCCTGACGTACACAAGTTCTTATAAAAGACACGTTAAACACTTTTCGATTTTTATTTAATTACATTTTTGGAAAATTTAGGTTTACAATCAATACTGTTCTCTCTTGTGTCCTTGAACAAGCCCGTTTCCATTGTTAGAATTAAATGTGGCACCATAACAGGCACTTTCTTTCAGCTGAATCAGTTGGAAAAAAAAAAAAATGAAACACCACAAATTGTCAGTGAGGTATTAATAATCCTTTATTTAACCGACAGTAGCTTGCCTGTCTGTTAGAATTATCAGTGCTGAGTGAAGATATAAATCCCAGCTGGTATAGGCAAAAAAGTTATTGAAACAAGCTTTGTTATGAGCAAGAAAAGGCAAAAAAAAAAGAAGTACAAAATGCACACTTTTACGTTTAAAAAAATTATTCTTAGTGTCATTATAAAAAATATTTTTTTCTAAAATTCTTCAATCAAGTTTTTCACATTCAGCCAATGTTGGCGTTTCTCTTCCTTCATTTAGAGCTTTTTATACTTCAAACTTCACAGGTTTGCTATCGTTTAGTGTTCAACAGGGAATGAATCTGTGCATGTAAATAACCCGCCACTGGAAATATCCGCCTTCATTTTGGAGTGTAAACTCTTGGTCAGTCTGTAGCCGTTAGCTGTAACGGTTTTGACCGTAAAGCACAGAAATGGCAGCTTTGGGTTACAAATCTACAGCGTGGCGAGTTGCAGATGTCTAGAAGCGGCTGTTTGCCACGGAGAGCAGGAAGCGAGGCGGGCGAATGAAAGAGGGGACCACGGCCGACAGCCAGGACAGGTACGGGACCTGGGTCAGGAGGAACTTTAGGGAAGTGTAATCAGTCACTTCGCGCCCTGGAAATGAGCAGATAAGACGAGCGTCACTGCAGGTTCAGAGCTCTAATCCTGGATTCCTGAGGAGGGGCCAGGCTAACGTGTATTTACCGTCAATATCTTTGATCCCATAGCGCCGCGCCAGGTCACAGGTCATGAGCACCTTCCCACTTAGTGACATGAGATTAGTATCTAGCAAAAAAAAACAAAAAAACACAGGCTTATTTTTCCTGTCCGGGAAACACTTGGCAGCAAATTTATGGCGCTTTTCCACCAGTACCCACTCAGTGTGGCCCAGCTTTACTTTATTGTGACTTTATTAATCTTGTATATCTCTTATTTCGGATGGAACCCATTGAAAATGAGATGGTACTCATCTCTCCTTGAAATAAACTTAAACTTTCTGCTCTAACGCTGCAGAGCCGTGCCAAACCATGCAGGACGGAGCAGGCACTAGGCCATTACTCCCCGGAAGGTTAACTGACAGGGAATTAGCCAACCCAGATCCCACATAGGCTCGGCTGTACAACCCCTCTGGATGAGCATTTTACCTTTGGCCAGGTTGACGATGCACTTCCCGCTCAGTTCGGTGGTTTCCCCGTTCGAGAAAGCTTCCTTAAACTGAGGACAGCAGAAATCCAAATGAATTTAAGACGGCACAGAGGGGGGCGATCGCCTTTAAGGCGAGGCTACCTTCTGCTCCACGCCCTGCGGCTGCTCCTTCTCCAGGACCAGCTGCGACACCAGCTCCGTCTGCACCGCCCCGGGCCACAGGCTGACGGAGGCCACTCCCCGGCTCCTCAGCTCCACGGCCATGTCCGCCGCCAGCCGGTCGCACTGCAAACCGGCCACGGGCCGAACAGGTTTTTCACTCCACTGACGCAACACCACACCAGATACTGTAGAAACCACCTCATGACATCATCGATGTGACGTCGACAACTTACCGCAGCCTTACCGACCCCGTAGGGCACGTTGAAGAGATACTGCAGCCCCCCCATGGACGAGACGGTCACGATTAAACCCCGGCCTTGAGCCACCATCAACCGGGACCCGTAGACCGAGAAAAAGTAGTGACCTCTGCCATGAGCGGCGACAAAAAAAGAAAGAAATGAATCACCGGCCATAGACAATGACTCAAAAAGCGTCATCAGACACTCAGCCTGACGCAGTTTGCTGATGCACTCGGGGGGGGGAATTTTCCACATTGTGACATAACTAAAGCTCCCAGTACCTGAGGCCCGCGTTGTTGATGGAGTCCCAGATGGACGGATCTATTTCCCAGAACTTTTTACCCATGTTCTCGAAGATATCCTGGAAAGAGACGGGTTTAGTCAACAATCGTTTATAGCTCACAACACTCCGGAGGGGGGAGGGGGGGGGGGGGGTGCGGCGCTGATGCCTACGTAGACTCCCGCGTACGCGTTGTTGACCAGCAGGTCCAGCCGGCCGTCCTGCTCACGCTTGATCCGCTCGAAAAGCTCCACGATGTCGTCGTTTTTCGTAGAGTCGCAAATCACCGGCACGCAGTTCCCGCCTCTCTCGCATACCTGAGTTTACAACAAAGAAAGGTAGACTTTAAAAAAAACAAAAACTACTGCACCAAAGCTCCAGCAGGCATTTGTGCGGCATTCTTTGAGATAAAGAAAGAAAAAAAAAAAAGGACAAAGGGAGGCCCCGGCGTGCTGGATGGGACTGGCTGTGAAACTGGATCTGAATATGAGTGAGGGGTTTCAGGTGGGGGGGGGGAAGTGGGCCTTAAAGCCTGACCTCTGCAGCAGTGTGTTGGAGAGTCTTCTGCTGGCGTCCGGTGATGTAGATGGTGGCTCCGGCCTCGGACAGCTGCAGGGCTATCCCCCTGCCGATGCCCCTGGACGCTCCGGTGACCACACACACCCACCCGGACAGGGCCATCTTATCTGGGGGCAGAAAAAAAACACATCTCTGTGGGCTCACACCTGCAAAATATGGGTGTAAAACGTCTATCAGATGTGTCTGCGGACTGCTGGAGTCCCTCCAAAGGGTTACGTCACGGTTACGTAAAGCCGACTGCCGTTCAGAGTTCACCGCAATCTAAAGGACCGATCTGAAGTCTTATAGAAATACTGTCCAGTCATTGTTGGTCAGCATTTTAAAAGAAAGACTGACCATTAACATGTCACATTCATTAAATGTCTGCATTGTGCAGTTCGTAAGGAGGTTATAGGTCTCCTGGTCAATGTTGCCGTTACTCGGTAAAACTCGGTTAAAGTTTACTGAATTGTTTTTGTTATTATCGAGTTTAACTCGACCTACGGACGCAAATTTAAAAGCCGTATAAGGTAAATCTTTTTATATAAGTGAAGAGGTCTTTCTTGGACTATATTTATTATTATATTCCCTTTTTATTCGGTATGCAAACTAATTTCGAACTAAAGCGAACAGGTTTACGGCAGAGTCATCATTTGACTGCCATTCCAACTGTTACGTGACTGTAATATTCAAACCCGTATTCAAAAACGTCCCAGAATAAAAATAGTTTTTTTTTAAAGTATCAGTTCATCTGTCATTTCTTTTAGAAGTTCCATTTCTATTTTGGCTAACTTGCGTAAAATAGAAGCCTACCTTAGAGGACTCGGATCCGGTTAATAAAATCCCACTGAGAGTAACTCTGAGACAGAGCTACGCTAAACGCTATGACGGCTGATAATAGTCACTGGATGAAAATCGCCTCGAAAATAGTTTTCAGGATATTTAATGACAAGGTTATTTAGACGCCCACCGCCGTAATATCGCGAGAACACACACACAACGAGAAGCCACGACACAAAAGACCCAGTTCCCGCTTCGCCCCAGTCTACGTCTCTTTGTTTTTATTTCTTACATTTTATTGACAAAAGAAGCAGTCGCTCCTTTGTAAGAGTGTTCTTAAAGAATAGTCATTAAAGCTTTTTCTCGTGATGATTCAAACTTAGATTTGAAGTGTATAAGGTGCATTTCTGATAACTCTGTTTGCTCCTTACTGTTATAATCCTCACAGAGTGAGTCTAAAGTTTGTTGATTTTCAGTAAACAGAGATTTCCAGTAATACTGGCACGGTGTTTAACTTGCAAATAGAACCGGTTTGGAAGGATTCCAGCATTCGAGATCAATATATATAAAAAGTGTTGATTAGCTCACATGAGTGTGATGGGGAGTTTTGTGTGTGTCTGTGTTTTGGGGCTGTTGGAAGAAGTTGGATTTCCCAAAGAGAACCCACACAAACATGCATAGTTTGCATGTTCTCCCCAGCCAGGATTTGACCTGTCTTGCAGTAAAGCGATAACCACCGTTCTACCAAACTGTAACATAAACATTATCATCATGATCAGGTATAATAAAAGAGAACCTAAGAGAAGTAGAGTCTATTAGAGGTAAAGATGGGCAGAGGTATGGCAGCCTGTTACCAAGGCAGATTTCGGGGGTTTACATCTTGGATGGAATAGGGGTGCATTAATGTCAGTGTCGGTGGAATAACAGTACTTTTAGAAAGGTCCAGTAGTTGGTCTAAGTTCACAAATGTTTACTGGCTGTAAACAACAAGAGTGGATGCGGCTCCACCACCCAAAAAACACGTTGCAGCCAACAGTGAAACGTCTCACTGTCTGAAAGTTTTGTAAATGTTGTATTTTGAGAAAAATGTTGTTTCATGAGATCTGCAAATCACAGCATTATGTCTTTATTGATATTTAGCACAAAGTCCCAAATTGAGCAAAATGTGGGCTGCTGCTTTAAGTTAAATTTGCCAAAGTACCCTGTTGAGAAATATCTCGTTAATAATTTATAAGAATCTTTGTTTTTCCTGGCAGACATGGTGAGTATTGCAGTGAACAGATAAAGATCAATTCAAACCTAATATCCAAGGCAAATTTGTAATTTTGCAAATAGAAAAACTGTAACTTAAGCTTTCACACAAGTATGAGCAAACACTTATGATCAGTTTTTTTTTTTAACTGAGAGATGTTTTCCTTTATCAGCCTTACTGTACGGAACATTGGGCAGTCTGTCAGCAGAAACTCCACACTTCAAATGTCAAAGACCCATAACCTTAGTGGGTTTGATATTTAGCGTTTCAAATATATATATGCTAGTATTAGCTCATCGTTGCTATGTGGAAGTTAATCATATTAATTTACTGAAATATTTGGACTTAATGGACTTCAGTGTGAGCTTCACATTGCATTTTTACTTTAATTTGTGTGTAGAATCTGCTTCAAAGTGGCTTTCATAAACAGCCACTTACAAGTAAGGAACACATTAGCAAACATTAGAGTCAAACCTGAAACTTTAAGATTGAAGGAAAACGTTCAGCATTTCACACCATGTGAGAAGAAGATTAACCAACCATTAGCATCGCCTTTCAAACATCACTATTCAAAATGCATTGAATTGACGTTTTAATGTTGGCTCGCTGGTATTTGATTGATTTTGCCTCCTGGCTTCAGCTCCATATTTGCTCAAGTAAACCAGCAATGTTGACGTAAATGTAATGTTAACCTCTCTGTAGCTATACCCATTTGCACGCTCCGCCTGTTCTGGGAAGCCAGCGCTGCTGCTGGACGTTGGTCATTCTGTGCCAATATAAGGCCGGACGGTGCCGCGGACAGGAGACCAGCACTTAATCCCACAAAATGAGCGCACGAAGGCCTGGAGGTTTTGCCTTTATTTGGGTCACCATCTTTCTCGGCTGTACTTTTCATGTGTCTGACAACATGTCTGGTAAGCAGCAGAACTAATCCATGTTGTTGTCCGTTACTAAACTGCGAATAAATCATGAACTGAAATTAGAGACCCCTATGAAGGTGATCTTTGTGCATTTCTTTTGTTTCAGTCGCTAAAAATGTGAGAGATTTTGTAGATTATAGAGGGAACCCCAAATTGGAAAGCCTCCTTTCAAAGATCCCGGTAAGTTTCCTCTTACTTGACAACTGAACAGACATTATGTGGATTTTGGCACTGAAATGTTCTGTTAATTTGATCTTTTATTATCATTCGCCTCAGGTAACGTTACCGGATGGGACAGAGTATGATGAAGTTAACGTAACGGTTCGTACTCACCCTGTTCACTGATGCTGTTAATGCATACAAAAAGTCGACTTTTCAATCTAACACTTTTTATTTTGGCTTTTACAGTTAATCAAGGTCCAACTTTGCGAAGGTAAGAAGCCTTTTTTATCTCATTCCTTGACTACATATGCAGCAGTGATTCAATTCCCATAACAGAAAGAGTAACTTTATTTAAAGAGTAGCTTTTGCCTTTTACTAAGGTGACTCCCTTTCCAATTTATACTAAAGTAGAGCCAATACAAGCTTTTTATCACCCTGCTGTCGTTGCTAATTTTACTCTGCTTTGTCAGATAAGGATAAAGAGCTGACTTCCCTGAAAACGCAACTGGACCAGAAAACCCGCCTAAACAGCGAGTTGGGTGAGGGTTCATTCTTTAGGTCAGGAGCTGACCGGTGGGCGTTCTGTCCCCGCTACACTGTGACCTGTCCGCTCCCCAACAGACGGCGAGGCGGTCGGGCTGAGGAGGGACGTCAGGCAGCTGAAGATGAGACTGAGCACGTGCAGTTCCACGGCCTCGGCAGTCGCCGGCTGTAAGATCCGGATCCCAAAATCCCTAATTCGTGTGTAAAACAGGGTGACGATTCCCCTCTGACGAATGTTGGAATGTGTCTGTGATTTCTTGGCAGCTTATCAAACCCAACTGAGGACCAAAATCCACCAGCTGCTGGATGTGTTTGACACCGAGACTTTTCAAAGTAGGGCCACCCAAAATATGCCAAAAACATTTCATTTTTATGTTATTCTAATACATAAATATATCCTCCTGAGACCCGGCCCATTCATGTATGTCCATTATAGTGGACATTTTGTCCACCTGTACCCCCCTAAGTATCTGGAGTTACCCTATCAAGCCTTATAGTGTTCTGTAGAGGACATCCTGGGCTTTCCAGTGATGTGCCATGTGATAGGTTTGCATGCTGGGAACTTTACTTTTTTCCTAAGAGTTCTTAGGTAAATATCCCTTTCAAGACATCTTCTTTTTTATTATTGAATTATCTAAAGCCTGTTCTATTTTCCCATGCAAATTGTCCTGTTGTCCTCCACAGTGGACATGCTATGAAATTAAAATTAAAAATATATATCTTTTAAATTAAATTGTAATGTTCTTTTTTAGGTCCAAATACATGGAAAATCACAACAAAAAATAAATTTGAAGACACTTTTTTTATTTGGGTCTCAGGAGGATATGTATGTTTTGGCGTTATAAAGACTATGATCTACTAATTTGTAGTTCTAAAGATCCTGGCCCTCACCTGGGAGGTGAGTGCTTTACAGAGGAAGGTTGAAGTGGCTTCCAGTTCCACTGACGCCACTGAAATCTCAGGTGAGTCTTGTGATCTTTGACATTCCCAGTGAGAAGCGCAGCACCTGAGTTGGCCTGTGCCTCAACATGACTTCATTCCCAAACTCACATTAAACAGTTCTAGAGAAGCAGTTGGCCGAGAAGGTCGCCGAACTGGCTGAAAGGAAACGGCAAATCGAAGGAAGCCACTCAAAGTCTGCACTCAGTAAGAAGATTTTTTATTTTATTTTCTGATATGCGCAGGGGAATCTGCTCATCCTTTGGTGATTTGACCACTCAGAGGACTTGTGTGCTTTCTGTCTGTGCAGTCTTACAGATAATCTCACTGCAAAATCAGGTCTGGGATTTACAGCAGACGAGGACAGAAAGCGATGTTTATCCCGACAGCGCAGAGCTGGGTAAACCCAAGTGTCAACGTCCATTTGATGCCGCGAGACGAGGGGATGCCGTCTAATGTTGACAAAAGTGGCTGTGCTTTCTTTTCCGTCAGATCTACAAACGCAAATCGACAGGAAGATCAGTGAGCTGCGAGGAGGAAGAGGCGATGGCGGTGAAGGAGACGCCATCTCAGCTGGTCAGTCATCGGCCAGTATTCCCTCTAATGGCCGACACGCTGGAAGCTGGCCGACCAACTCTCTCTTGCTCTGACAGTTTTGGAGCTGGTGTCCGTGCGCACCAAGATCACCGTGATGGAGAAGCTGATTCGGGTCCGCATTCAGAAATCCAGGACCACCTCTGCTGGCAAGTGCTGCGTTTTTTTTGTTTTAGTGTGTGTGGAGGAGTTGTAGCCTGAGTGTTTAACTCCTTCTGTTTTTTGTTCTTTTCCAGACGCTGAGAGGCAATTTAGGCTAAAGCTTGAGCTACTCAAAGAGAAGATTCTGCTGCTGAATGTCAGAGAGAACGACAAGGAACTAAGTGAGTCTGCAACTTTTTTTTTTCGTGGTCATTATTTATTTTTGCACTGACCGGCTCTCCTTTTTCGTTCGTCCCTAGCCAAAGAAATTCTGAAAATCCAAGGGGAGCTGGAACATCTCACAACCCTGAAGGTGACCACCAAAGAGACCCTGGAAGCCTTCCTCAGAGGTGAATGAGCACAAAAGGCACACGTTCTCATCTGATTTAGGTGGATTTGCTAAAGCGCTTCATCGCTTTTTATTTTCCGTCTCCACCCCAGAGTTAAGAGTCAATCTGGAAGCGGAGAAAAGACGGTGGGAGCTTTTACTGAAACAACTGGAAGCAGCAGACTACTCCGCGGCACAAATGAGTGAGTTTGAGCGGGAGAGGCTGTCGGACTCAGATCTAGATGTCTTCACTGGAGCGGGGTGTGACTTTTTATTTCACTTTGACCAGCTATAAAGATCATCAACATAATGGAGGAGTTACGGCAGCAGCAATACACAACATCCACCAGTCCAACTCAGGGTGAGTCCATTCCAACAACCCCCTCCAAACAAGTATTCGCATAATCATTAAACACTCTGTTTTAAACCGATGGATGTGTGTCTCTGTTTCACCTCAGACATTTTCGCTGTGCTGGAAAGATATAAAACCGACTACGCCAAAGCTCAGGCTGAAATAACAAGTGAGTGGTCTGCAGGAAGGCCCCTTCTATGATAACCAAGCAGGATTTCAGGTGAGGGTTTGTTATAAGAAGGTTTCCTGTTTGTTCTGAAAACAGATCTCCAGCAGAACCTGCAGCTGGCGCGCAGAGAGTGCTCCGGGATCGAGGAGAGGCACAAGCGTACGAGTTCCCGCCTCCCACTCAAGCTGGAAGTACGTCTGAGACCTGGGTAATTACTCTCTGTTTGCCTTTTGCTGTTCATCAGTGGTAAGGACCGAGTTGGAGCAGAAGATTGCAGAACTGAACCGAACTGATGCCGACGGAGCGCTGGGTGAGTCACATCACGAAACAGCTAGGGCTTCTTAACTGTAGTTTCTTTTCTTTTTTTGTAATTCAAATTTTTATTGATTTTCTGAATATTATCTCACATAAAACACAAATACAAAACAAAAAAGGCTGGTCCACCACCCCCCGCCCCCCAATACCCAGGGTACAGTCATATATTATATGTATGTTACAGTGTCAATTCAAAAACATTCAGTGGTTGAGAGAAAGGTCATTGTCCGGGAAAATCAGACGTCATCCAGATACATTACTCGAAGCCATAGTTCTTTTCAATGAGTCCCAAAAGCTATCCCATTCCATGTCCCTGTTCCCATCCATGTTGTTGAGCATGACTTCATAAGAAGCTGTATCCGGCATTGATTTAATCCACTCATTTAGCTCGGGACACTTTGTGGTCTTCCAATGTCTTAAGATGATCCTGCAGGCTGTCACCAGACCGCCCATCACAACTGCAAAAGCTCCTTTTGGGGTGTTTGGCATTTGAGATCGGTCTCCCAGTAAACACAGTTCTGGAGTCTGAGGGATCTCTGAGCCAAGCCATGCACTCAGAGCCTCCAAGATTTTAATCCAAAATGGTGAAACCAGAGAGCAGTCCCAAAAACAATGCAAATATGTGCCCACTTCTTTCTTACATTTCCAACACCCTTATCTGTAGTTTCTAACCTGGTGAACCACTTTGTGATACTAACTTGTGGCTGTTTGTCAGTTCTGAGTGTGATAAACCTGCAAGCGGAGCTAATGATTTTGAGGAAGCGGATCTCCTCCTCTGACAATGAAGAAGAGATCTCAAGTGAGTAACAGCTGAACTCTTTAACTGGAAATGAGAATTTAGTTTTATTTTAAATTAGAAAAAAGAGATATTTTATTTGACTTGACTCTCCTCCGTGGAGGACGGCTACATCTGGCAAAGATGTTCAGTTTTCTGTGTTTTTCTAAAGGCCTCGTGGATATTTCTCTCATCTTTCCACCCCCATTTTTTGTCCGTGTTCCCCACAGAGCTTCAGAGGGAGCTGGAGCAGAAGCAACAGGAACTGAATTCCAAAACCAGAGAGGTGGAGAGAGTGATCACCAGCCCGCAAACCGGTGAGCTGATTCTGTGCTGTCAGCGCTACACAGCCCGGATCTTTATTTCGATGCGCGTCTGGGAATTAAATGAAGCCATTTGTGTATTTCAGTTTTAGAAATCATTGAGCTGCAGAGGGAAATTTGGAGCCTCCAGAATCAGAACACCAGTGGGACCATTGATGCGATAAAAGGTATTTCAACGCAACTTTTCCAGTTACATTTTAGTTTTTTGTTAAATGCTTAAATCATCTAACGTCCTCCACAGTGTTGCAGAACAGAGTGGACGATCTGATCGGCCAAATAGACGACAAGACCCAAGCCGGCATGAAGCAGAGTGAGTACGAGTTGTGCTTTCCTCACTGAGTCCCTCAGGTTAGGGAATATTGCCACGGTTCCATTTTGAGTTTTGCGTAAATCCGGTTTGTGTTTGGATGGTTATTTTTCTGTTGCCTGGTTCTTCAGTGATGACGATTGTGGCGCTGCAGACAGAGGTGGACTATCTGAAGACGCTGCTGTCAAACGTCAGGACGTTGGAAACCTCCAGGGTAACCGGTAAGCACCCCCCCCCCCCCGGCTAACATAACATGTATAACCGTGAAGCAAAGAATGGGACAAAGGGAGGCGGTTTTTATTTTATAATAAAAACAAAGCGATAATCCATAAAGACATGTGTGCACGCTATTGTCCCGATCTCCTGGATAAAACCCGCAAATCCTCTTTTTTGTCAGAGCTCACAAACCAACTCAATTCCAAGGAGGATGTGCTGAAGCAATATGTCAGCGAGCTGAACGAGAAGAACCAGGAAAGTGCCAAACTGAGTAAGTGAGGCAACGCCTCATTGGAAAGCACACAAAGGGCCTCGGTAGAAACCATAGCAACGGTGGCCGTCCCTCACAACTCTCCCAAACTGACCGTATTACTTGCAGATGGCTGAGCATACAGGTAGAAAAACGTACTAGCGTTTGCTTGTTCTTTCTGTGTTTGCCAGCCGTGGTCATCACTGGTCTGCAAAACCAGCTCAGGAAAATCGAAAAAGACAAAGAAAGCGAGGGAAAAACTGCTTCTGCCACAATATCCAGTGAGTGTCTTCTTTTTTCCCTTGAATTTATGGAAGAGAAGGTGTAGAATTAACCTGACCTGAATTTTTCTAGAGCTGAGGGAGCAGCTGAGGATTAAAGAGGAAGAGAACGGTCGCTGTCAGGCTTTGATCAAATGTAAGTTCAGTCCTGGAAATTTCAGGTTTTAGAATGAACGATTAAGATTAGAGCTGCTGTTGATAGGTGATGAACTCTCTTGTTCCTGTAGCTCTGCAGCACAGTCTGAACCAGACAGAGGCCGAGTGCTCTGTGCACGAGCAGAAAATCCAAGGTGAGTGTGGTCTCTCACCTCTTGTGTGGTCTCTACCGGGATCAATAATTGGGATTAATGTGTATTTGCAGGCCTGCAGACGGATCTGGACGCTAAAATTGAGGAGCTGACGTCCAAATCTGACACTGTAACTTCACTGGGTGAGTTCTGGAGCCGTGGTGCTGCATCACAAGGCTGAGGGGAAGACCCAAAGGCTGATCTCCGGCCTGTTTGTGCTTTCAGCTCTCAAGATTTCTACCCTGACTGTGCATCTGGAAGAGCTGAACAAGCAGCTTGAAAACTCTGTATCCAAATCCAAGATCGATGGTGAGTGTGTCCCTGTTGTTGATGCCAGAGCACAGAACCAACCCTACAGACTGAAGAGCTGAAAGGAAAAAGTTTGCCCTATTCTTTTCTTTTTTTTGTTGTCAGAGCTCCAAAGAATTATAGCTGAAAAAAGTGCTGAACTGAGCCAAAAGACACAAGAACTGAAAACACGGAGTGAAAAAGCCCAGAGAAGTGAGTGCACCACGATTAAAAAGCCCCTGAAACGTTCCCCACCTCAGATTTGACATGCAGCAGGAATACAGGATGGAAAGAGAAATATCCCTGTGTCTTTCAGTCCTGCAGATCGTTGCTATACAAGTGGAGATTGAAAGACAGGTGGCTGTAAACGACACGGACTATTCAAGAATTAGCGGTGAGCTACAGAAACACATGTGGACAGCCAGTGCCAGTGACGTGACACCATCCATTCCAGGAAAAAAAACAACTTGTCTTTTGCCCGTAGATCTCGAAAACCAAATCAAAGGCCTGATTGATGGAATCCAAGATAAAGATGACGAGACCTCAAAACTTAGTGAGTAGTAAATCAGATAAATGAATCTGCTCTATGTGCTGTAATCCAACTTCTCTTTCTGTTAGCCTTTCAGATTTTGTCTCTAAAGGATAAAATTGCCAGACTGACGAAACAAAAGGAGACTCAACTGCAAAAACAAGTCGAGAGGATAAGAGGTGGGACTCAGGATGCAATAGAGAAAAGATTTATGTGATGTTTCTTTGCGATTTTCAGGATATAAAACGTCAATTTTTTTTATTTTTTATTTAAAGAGCTGGAGAGTAAAGTGGAGGATATCACAGATCAAATAGAAGAGAAAACTAAATTGCTGGATACAAGTGGTATTATGGTTGCTAATCTGAGTAAGTTTG